CACCAGCACGGGGAAGGCCTGAGGGGCAGAGGGCAGCTTGGAGGCCTCAGCCAGAAGCCTGGGCTCTGAGAATCACACGGCACCCTCCTTCAGGAAGCCTTCTCCGTGCTTAGCCTGTGCCCACTGGGTCACTTCAGAAACAGCGCTGCCTCTGAACTCCTGAATTGTGAACTCAACACCCTGTCCCCCACCACCACTCCCTGCAAGGTGCCCACATCAGCTACTTTTTGTTAAGTCTTTCCAGACAGGGTTCTCCCCTGTAGCCTCGGCTGTCTTGGCACTGTCCGTAGACAGGGTGCCTGTGACCTCCCACGTGCTGGGTTACAGGCCTGGGCTACCAACCCGCTCCTTGTATGTTTGCTTACTTATTTACGGAAGTAGGCCTTGCTATGTGCTCTGGGCTACCCTAGACCTCCTCATCCTTCCGCCACAGCACCCCTGGGTGCTAGGGTGACGAGCATGTGCCGGGACTTTCTGTAGGCAATCTCTACTTCCGGACTAACCCTTGACCTTCACGAGGGTCTTCTCTCCAAACTACGTCACAGTTCAGCTTCGACTCAGGTAACCACCCCCTCCACTCTTCAAGACACACCTCAAGGGACCAACGAGATAGCTCAGTAGGAAGTCAAGGCACCTGTCACCAAGCCTGAGAACATGCGCTCAATCCCCAGAACACACAAGGCGTCCTCCACAGGTCCTGACACAAATGTTAAGTCAGAGTGCAGCTCACACCCTTTCTGCCTCCCAACACCAGGACCCTCCTACAGACAGGTTGTGCAAGCAGGGTCCCTGCTACTCCACAGCAGCTGCAGGAGGCAAGGGTTACTTGTCAATGGTAGCAGCACACATCTTTAATCCCAGCACGTGGGAGACAGAGGCAGGCGGGCAAGAGGTCTCTGGTTTACATAGAGTTCCAGTGCAGCCAGGGCTTGGATAGGTAAGGACTAGAAGAGCTCTCCTACACTCAAACTTGAGAACCCAAGTTCAAATCCCCAGTGTTTGCGTATGCCCTTGGCTCCAATACTGCAGAGATGGTGGCTTCTAGGAGCTGGCCGGCCAAGCAATCTAGCCTAAATGGTGAGCTTCTAGATCAGATGTCCTGTTTTGGCCTTTGCAAATGCAAAAGTGGGGACAGGCACCTGCACAGACGCATACTTTAAGCAGAAGGCGCACACGATGTAGTTTAGTTAGAAAGAGTGCTTGTCTAGCATGCCCTGGGTTCAATCCCCAGCCCCACTAAAACTGCACGTGATGACTTATGCCCGAAACTCCAGCACTTGAGGTGAAGACAGGACTGACAGATTAAGATCATTCCCAGCCACAGCTCAAGCCCAGCCCGGGCCTGAGATTCTGTCTCCAGAAACAAAAAAGCAGAAGGAGACATAAGCAGACTCAGTACCAGTTTCCCACAGCTTCTGAAACCTCCACATACGATTACCCACCCCTGGCTAGGGTGCAGGAGCAACACACCTGAAGCGCCCATCTGACCAGGGGTTCCTCCCCTGTCAAAGCTTTCTGTGGCTCTCCACCGCCCCCTAGAGGACGTCCAAGCACAGAGCTTGACATTCAGGGTCCTAACCCTGACTGGTACTCTGTCTGTCCCTGCACCCTCCATGACCCAACCCAGGACCAGACAAAGACCAGTATGTTAGGGGACACTGCACGGGGATCACCTGTGTACCAACACCTCTTCCCCTCCAAGGTCCCTGAGCCTGCCACTCGCCCGCCTCCCTTAGTGGAAGAATTCTATGAAGAAAGACCAAAGGAATCTTACCTCTGTGGGACTCAGCTGCTTCGTCCCCACGTAGGTGACCCCAAAGTGGTAATTGGACTCCCCAATCGTGCCGAGGGCTACTGTGTGGGTCACCTGGGAGAAGAGAATGAGTTGTGGGGTCTTGAGGAGGCAAAGACCGGGCTTCAGGGCTGGGCAGGAGTAAAAAGCAGGGGTGTGGGGCAGGGCAGTGAACACTGGGTGGTAAGCATCAAAGCTCAGGATTCCCACCCAGGAGACAAACCAAACCAACACCAGGCCTCACCCGAGAGACTAGCGGTGGAGCTAGGGTGGGCTACACACCCACCACCACACCCCTGCTCGAGGCAGCAGAGTAAGAATTCTGGGCATCTAAACCCAAACTTCCCACTCCTCTTCAACAGTCATCCTGGAATGTGCGAGTCTTATTGTCCTGTTCACGTTTTGACACAGGGTCTTGCTATGCATCCCAGGCTGGCCTGGGACACACACAGGGTCTTCCTGCTTCATCCCCGACAATGCTGGGATCCCAAGGTTGTGACCCTGGAGTGTTACCTAAACCTTGTTACCTACCAAAAAGCCCATGCCTGTAAGACAGCGAGGGGATCTGTATGCACGGAAGCCGGTGCATGTTATGACCTCGGGAGGGTCAAGGCTCAGAAAGACTCACCTGGAACCGGTTACTCAACCCTTTGTTGACTGTAAGTTTGACACCCTCCATCTGAACTGGAAACAGCTCTGCAGGAGAGAGACACTGTCAAACCTCAAATTCTCCTCCCCCCAACCCCTGCCACCCCCAGCTCCCTCCGGAGACCCACATCCCACCACCCGAGGAAACGCTGCCCGGTGAGGGGCGCCGGGCACTTCGGCTGTCTGTAAAACCCAGTGCCATCACCTAGATTTGGGAAACTCGCCTGCTTGTGTCAAATCTGTCCTCTCTACAATGGGGAAGGCATTTAACGAGCTGACACATATTTAAACATCAGAGACTAAAAAAGAAACAAAACCGTACCTCTCTCATGATCAAAATGATCCTAGGCCAGGATCCAGATCCCGGATCCTTGGGTGGCACCCCTCGGAGAATCACCGGGGGACACCCTGCTGACACCGTGACCTTGGGCCACAACTCTGTGCGGATCCCACTAGGTAACGGGCCCGGCTGGGTGGGCCCGGGGCCTCCCGCCCGGGGGCTGCGCTCCCCCGCGTCTGAGCCCGGGTCCCGGCGCCCCGTCCCATGCTCAACTCCTCAACGTCCCGTCCACGCCGCGCGCCAGCCCTCCCGGGGGGCGTGCGGTGCCTCCCCTGCCCCCGGGCCCGGCGCCGCTCACCTTTGCACTTCCGGTGGCACTCCTCGAACGTGCCCGGGTTGGGCAGGCAGCCGCAGCCCCCGTCGTCCGAGGCCCCCGCGGCGCCGCTCGCCCCAGCCCCGGGCGTCCGCTCCGAGCCGCGGGCCGCGCTCGCCCCCGTGCCCAGGCCGCCCCCGAGCGGCGGCAGCGTGAAGCCCGGCGGGGAAGGCGGCGGCGGCGGCAGCCCCACGAGGGACGGCGTCGGAGGCGGCGGGGGCCCTGCGGGCGGAGAGCTAGCGGCCAACACGTTCCCCATGGCAGCTGCGGGGCGGAAGGTCAGAGGGCAGGGGTCAGGCGCTGCCCAGACGCGCACCCTCACACTGCCCCGGATGCGACCTCAGCCGCCCGCCCACCCGACTCCGGCCCGATGCTCACTGGCGGCGGCGGCGGCGGCGGCGGCCCCTGTTCCCGGCCTGGGATCCGCTCCTACCCCGTGCGCTACGCGCAACCGAACCCACTGCCGCCGCCGCCGCGGCTGTCTCCCCGCCCCGCCGAGTCCATTGGTTAGTTGTCCTCCGGGCCCCGCCCATCAGCCTAGAAGGAAGACTTTTCATTGGACTCCCGGAAGGAAGTACCACCCACCTCGCTGAGACAGCCATTCCTATTGGCCCTTATCCGCAATCGGTCAGCGCGGCTCCCTCGCCTTTTCCCATTGGCTCGCATATCGCGAGCCGATTGGTTCACGCCGCCGCGGGTCTGGGGCCGGCTCGCTTATTCGTCGATGCCTCCGGCCTTGCAACGCCTACTCGCTCCTCGCCCCGCCACCCTCCCGGCGGAGCGGAGCCCCGCCCCAGCAAGCGTCCTGACCATTGGTGGGCTCTGGTTCAGATCGCGTTCTGATTGGCCGCGGCGCGTCTGGTGGGCGGTGTCCGGTGACGTTTGTACTAGCTGTCTGATTGGCTAAGGCGCCCGGGCCAAAGGGCGCGGGTAGAGGTGCGTTGCGCCGCAGACGCTGCTAGGCAGCAAGGTCAGGTCTCGCGCCCCACCAGGCACCGCGGCGGAGGGGCTGGGTCGCCCACTGCGAAGCCGGAAGTGCTGCCCCTTCCCACAGTGCCCCGGGAGAGCCTCAAACCCGCCCCGGGAAAGCCGGCCCGCCCGCCCGCCCGCCCGCCCGCAGCGGCTTTCCCGCAGTGCCCGCCTCCTCCCCCCCGAGCGCAGCCGCCGCCTGCGCCCACCCCTTTGTCACCCGTGATGCCTCGGCCCCCGCGTCACCGTGGCGTCTATCTTTGGCCCATTCATTCCTTTCCCATTACCCAGCATTCACTCCCCCATTCATTGCGCTCCTTCTTTTCCTCCACTCGGTTTTAGCCCATTTTTTTTCTTTTTGCCCGTGCGTTTTCACCATCCTTCCGGCTTTTTTTTCTAATTAACCGTCTAGGCTGGGAATCTTCTACCTCCTGGCTATTACCCATTACCCCCGCAGCCCCTGTTTCTTCTTATCTCTTTGCCTCTGGCTCATTCATTTAGCTACATCACCCATCACGCCTTGGAGGGCTTCTTTGAAAATATTTTTTCCCCATGACCTTTTACTTATTTTTTAATGACCCATCCTCCCAACTCACCGTGTAACTCCAAGCTGGTCTTAATTGTGGGCGACCTTTCTGCCTCGGCCGCCCAGCCTATATTAATTGCCATTGACTTACTAAACCTGACCCCCTCTTGGCTGGTTACTCGTCTGTCTCTGTTGCTTGGAGCTGTTGATCATCAGGCAGCTGCCGCAGCCGGCTCTTTCAATACAGCGTGTCTGCTAGACACTTATTGCATCCATGTCGTTTTGTTAATTAACTATTATCAATTTGTGGCGTATCTTTTGGTCTTTGGGACCTTCAAACTGCAGCCCTTACTCATCTCCTTCCTGTCCGGTTCCATTCCCTTTACTTTTTCACAGAAAACGCAAGACTTTATCAAAGTATAAACTCGTATTTTGTAGGAAATGCTTACAAAATAATATTGTCCAAATTCCCAACGCAGATGCCCCATCGCACACACACCCCAGCCTCTCTAGAGGGATGTGTAACTCTCCTCCCACTGGGTAGGGGTTGGAAGGATTCAGTAGTCTTCAAGATAAGAGCAAATCTCTCAAACATGGGGTGGCAAGGCACACTTGGGCTCTCCCCTCCAGGTCTGGAGGCAGGAATTGGGGTGCCAGGTGATGAGAAGAGGGTAGGAACCCTGAGTTTCCTGCCTGCAGGAGTAGGTGGAGATGGGGAGGTCCTACCTTACACAGGGGAGTCCTCTCCTTTTCACCTCTGGGGAGGAGGGTGGGGAGGGATCCGGTTAGCTTCTGCTGCCTGGAGGGCTCAGGTCTGAGCAGCAGGTAGCCCCTGATCCCATTCTTGCAGACCCGTGGGGACCCTATTGCATGAGGACAAGTCCAAGGTCCCGTCCTCTGGGCTGTGTGTGAGTTGAGACACAGGTGAGTGGCAGGGTCAGAGGGTCCCAGTTTTAGGAGTCCTTGAGGGGTCAGAAGTGGTGCAGAAGGTTCCTCTGAGTCTCTGCCTTGGGACATAACACTCCCAGGTTTCCAGTCATGCAGGTTTGTCGGGGTCGGAGGTCATGGTGGAGCCACTAAAAAGTCACACACAGGTGGATTGCAGGGGTGATAGCTGACCCTGACTTGGCTGGAAGTCAGAGTGTCCTAGATCACTGGTGGAAAGCTGAGGGGTCAAGGGTGAAGGGTGAGAGGTCAGAGCCCCGGCGCCTTACACATACATGGCCCTTGACACAAAGAAGTCTTTGCCTTGGTAGGAATCAGAGGGGCTGGAGTAGGACAGGGCGTCATAAATAGGGTTGATTTTATCCAGGAAGTCTTCTTCCTCCTCATCTTCCTCCTCGTCTTCAAGACCCAGGGAAACCCTCTCCACAACAGGGGGCCCCGGAGGCACCAGAAGAGAAGGTCCCAGGCCTGTGGCCCCCAAAAGCAGGGGCCCTGACCGGTCTTCCAGGGTGGGCAGCTCGTGATACCGAGGCATGTCCTAGAAATGGAGAGCAAGCAGAAGTCCACGGTCACCTCAGCCCCGGGACGGCAGCCTGGAGTCCACGGTCACCTCAGCCCCAGGACCTTAGCCTGGAGTCCACGGTCACCTCAGCCCCGGGACGGCAGTCTGGAGTCCACGGTCACCTCAGCCCCGGGACCTTAGCCTGGAGTCCACGGTCACCTCAGTCCCGGGACGGCAGCCTGGAGTCCACGGTCACCTCAGCCCCGGGACCTTAGCCTGGAGTCCACGGTCACCTCAGCCCCGGGACCTTAGCCTGGAGTCCACGGTCACCTCAGCCCCGGGACCTTAGCCTGGAGTCCACGGTCACCTCAGCCCCGGGACGGCAGCCTGGAGTCCACGGTCACCTCAGTCCCGGGACGGCAGCCTGGAGTCCACGGTCACCTCAGCCCCGGGACCTTAGCCTGGAGTCCACGGTCACCTCAGCCCCAGGACTGTATGCCTAGAGTCCGAGGTTACCTCAGCCAAAAAGGGTGTATTTAGCTTTTTTTTTTTTTTTTTTTTTTGTTTCTCTATTGTTTTGGAGCCTGTCCTGGAACTCACTCTGTAGACCAGGATGGCCTCGAACTCACAGAGATCCACCTGCCTCTGCCTCCTGAGTGCTGGGGTTAAAGGCGTGCGCCACCAACGCCTCTTTCTTTCATCTTCTACATCTTTTTTTTTTTTTTTTGAGACAGGGTTTCTCTGAGTAACAGTCCTGGCTGTCCTGGAACTCACTCTGTAGACCAGGTTGGCCTTGAACTATCCACCTGCCTCTTCCTCCCGAGTGCTGGGATTAAAGGCTTGTGTCACCACCACCCGGCTTTTTTTTTGAAGACTGGGTGTCCTGTATAGATAAGACCAGTCTTGAACATACTATGTAGCCAGGCTGACCTTGAACTCCTGTCTTCTTCTTTTTGAGACTTGGTCTCTATGTAGCCCTGACTGTTGTGGTGGACTAGGTTGGCCTGGAGCTCACAGAGATCTATCTGCGGGCCTCTGCCTCCCGAGCATTAGAAGCACAGGTCTGGGACCACGATCACAAAATCCTGGGCACTGAACTCAGGGCATTGCGCGTGCTAGGCAAAATTGTGCCAACTGAGTTATAACCCAGCCAGACCTCAATCATTTGTTTGTTTGGAGACAAGGTCTCAAGTAGCCCCGGGTCTCCTTAAAATCTTTGTAGGCAGGGATGGCCTTGAACTCGTCATCATCCTGCCTGCATCTCCTCAGTGCTAGGATGAGTGTGCTCTCTTGCCATCAGCTTGACTTTTTTTTTTTTTAAAACACAGGGTCTCACTATGTAGAATAGTTTGGGCTCAAGCAGTGGTAATCCTGCCCCAGACTCCCAAGTACTGAGAGTACAGGTGTACACCCCACTCCAGGCTTGGCTTCAATCTTTTCTCTTGATTGTTGAAAGTATTTCCAAGCGCTCCTCTGTGTGTGTGTGTGTGTGTGTGAGTGCGTGTGCGCACGCGCGCACTGGTGAGCACAATGGTCAAAAGAGGGTACCTGATCCTCTAAACTGGACTCACAGGTATTTGCTATGTGACTCCCACCCTCAGAATCCAGCCCTGGTCCTCTCGATGACCCCAAGCTCAAAACCGCTGAGTCATCAGTCCCGCTGCTCTTCTTGGCTGCTTTGAAACAAAGTCTCACTTTTTAATTCATGCTAGCCTTGAACTCACTATGTAGCACAGGTTGGTTGAACCCACCATGATTTCAATTCCCGGTGAGCCTCCTGCCTCAGCTTCCCAACTGTCTGGATCGCAGGCAGGAGCTACCAAGCTCTGACCTCAAATATTTATTGAGTGTCTATCAGGACTTTAAACCTCAAGATGTTTTGCCCTCCTTACCTGATTGCTGACCATCCAGGGAACCCCGGGGAAATGTCTCCATCATAGAGGGGACCCCAAAGGAGGGGCCCATGGCGTTATCTCTGCTGCGGACACAGCCCCCGGGCAACTCAGATGCTCTCAGTGACTCCACTCTACCCAGCCTTGAACCTTGACCCTAAACCCACCCTGGTTCACCCGGAAACTCCCACCTGGTCGGCACAAGAGACACCAGCGTCGAAATATGGCGTCTTCACTGGGCTGTGCTCCGAGGCTCCCAGAGTGAAGAGCTGGGAGGGCTGTGGTGTGACACAAGGGTTAGTCAGGACCCCTCACGGGGGCCACTCCCAGCCAGCCCCGTCCCAGCCCAACAGCCTTTCCTCCCGCCTCAACCCCAGGGAGGAAAAGTAGGAAGGGAGGCAGGGTAGCTAGGGCTATCCTCTCACCATCTCTGGCTCCTCCAGCTTGGCCTTGGGCGTCGGTGGCTTATAGGAGGGAGGTCCTTCCAGCCTGCAGGGGTTGGGGTAGGAGTCAGATCAAGGAATGTAAGTGTGTCGGCCCCCCCTCCCCGTTTCTTTTCTCTTTTCCCTGGGTAAGTGTCAAAATGCTGGGGTTTTTTGTTTGTTTGTTTGTAAACTGCTTTTCAGCACCATCCCTGCCCCAACCCCAGCGCTCGGAGGGAGTCAAACCGAGTAACAGAACCCAGGACCCTCTGAGAAGAATTCAAAGAATTCTCTTCCAGAGGAGTGAGCTAGGTGTGTGCCCTGTAATCCCCACACCATGGAGGGGCTCTGAGTTTAAGGCCAGCCCTGTCTACGATGAGTTCCAAGCCAATCAGTGCTATAGTGGGATCCTGTACCAAAAACAAACACGGTGGGTGGAGCCTGGGAATGCCACCCAAGGGTGCCCTCTGCCCTCTCTATGTACAAAGTATGTTCAGTAACACGTACTTGATTAAGCATGTACACACACACACACACACACACACACACACACACACACACACGTATGAAGCAAAATGGGGTTGGCAAGATGGTTTAGTGGGTGAAGGAGCTTGCCACCAAGCCTGACTTTTATCTTTCAGTTTTCCTTTTTCTTGTTTTTAAGACGTTACTCTATGTAGCCCTGGCTGTCCTGGAACTCACTCTGTAGACCAGGCGGGCCTGGAACTCACAGAGATCCGCCTGCCTCTGCCTCCCGAGTGCTGGGATTAAAGGCGTGAGCCACCATCGACACGAAAAGATTTATTTATTTTGTATGTAAGTATCCCTGCACGCCAGAAGAGGGCACCAGGTCTCACTACAAAGGGTTGCCAGCTGCTGTGTGGTTGCTGGGAATTGAACTCAGGGCCCCCGCAGTGCTTTTAACCGCCGAGCCGTCACTGCAACCTGCCGTCACCCTATGTAAGACCCCAGGTATTTACGGTGGCCTCTCTGTCTCACGATGCCTTGGCGACTTTCTACCTCAGTGCCCTGCTGTGCTCCCCCTCTGACATCCCCCCTCCCAGCCACCCCCAGGGCCATCACTCACTCTTCTTCCTCATCCGCCCCCTGAAGCCTCTGCTCCTTCCGCTGCTGGCGACAGATGAGGATGCCTGTGGCCACCACCGCAGTCGCAATGATGGTGGCGATGATGCCCCCGATGATGCCGCCTGTGGCTCCCGCTCCTGCCACGCCGAGCGACTCTGTTAGGACAAAGACGTCACCAGGCTCATTACAGGAGCTCACAGCTGCTGCTTGTAACCTGTCCCTCAGAGGACAGGGTCTCGATACGTAGCCCAGGCTTCGCCTCTGCCTCCCCGCTTCTTTCCTTTGCAGTGGAACCTAAGTCTGGGGCCTCAGGCACGCTAGGCAACGTGTCTCTGTGTCTGACTACGTCACACCACGGCCGGGGGCTTTGCTTCATCCAACACCCCCCCCGTGCGCCTGATTCAGGAACATCTGTCCCGCGTAGACAGGAAGAGGCGTGGAAACGAAATAAACTCGCCAAGTCCCCACCACCATGGAGCTGAAGTTAACTGCTCAAGGTCTTACAGTAGCCCAGGTTAGCCTTGGCTATCAGCGAGCAAGCAGATGGGACGCTATCTAATGTCAAGCTGGAGCGGACACCGTGGACAGACTGGGGACAAGGAAGTGACCCAAAGACAGACCAACAAAGCCAGGCAAACAGGGCTTATCTGCCAACGGGCATTTTGAGTCCTCTGGGCGCACTGCAGAGAAACAGCCAGTGCAAAGGTCCTGGGACAGGCTCGGGGAGTTTTTAAGGAACAGGGAGAGCCAGCTGTGACAGTTTAGACACTCAGGAGGCTGAAGCAGGACTGCCGGAGAGTATGAATCCAGTCTGGGCTACGCAGTGAGTTCCGGGACAGTCAGAGTTAGTTTTTTTTTTTTTTTTTAACTGTCTCAACAAAACAAAACAAAGACCTCTGCCTTGGGGGGGCAGTAGGAAGAGGTTCAAGTCTAACATTGGCAGTGAGCGTTTGAGGACCGTTTCGTAAAAAACAAAAGACAACAGGAATAGCAAGGGGCCAGAGAGAAGAGGAGAGAAGGAAGTTGAGGGCAGCTGATGTGTCAGGAGAGGAGCCCCTCGTCCTTATGGGAACGTCATGTCTCCTGGCCTATCAGGAGAGCTCACACGGCTTCCCATCTCCCAACAGCCCGATGTGCGCTGCTTCTTCCAAGGGCGGAGTTCCTGGAGCAAAGACCCGTTTCCTCACTGCATCCATCGCCACGGGGGGACGGGGGACACACAGCTGGCGTGTTAGAGGGGATCTGTGTGCAGACAGAATCCAAGCAGACTGCTCGCCCTGCCCTCCGTGCCTGAGACCCTGGTGGGCCCCACCACGAACACCCAGAACAGGAAAGATGCAAAGCCCTAGCGGTGTCACCAGAGCCGTTAGTTAATGTGCGTCCCAAACCCGAGAAGGGAAGCTGCCTAGGGCATGCAGTCAGCTTCCGCTCTCCTGCCGCGCATCCTCTAGAAGGTTCCAGCGTGTGTGCTGGGGTGGGGGTGGCTAGCCAGAGTGCATCACACAAGGCCATCCCAAGCATTCGGTTCTTCCTGTCATTGTTGCTGGCTGGCCGCGTTCCCACAGGACAGGGCTCTGTGATGCGGGTCACTTTTGTGTCCCCAGCATGGCGAACACGGTTGGCATTCTGGGATTTATAGCTACTGGTTGAGGAAGTGCCTGTATCCAGGCCCCCTGGCTGCTCCACCCACCCAGAAGGTTATCGTTTGATCCTAATGTCCCGAGAGGCCACAGGAGGGGGCGGGGTGAGGAGACAAAGCTCACAGGCTTCTCCCAGGACCCTTGGAATCAGACTGCTAGCTGGAGGAACATGTGTGTGTGTGTGTGTGTGTGTGTGTGTGTATGTATGTATGTATGGTGTGTGTATGTATGTATGTATGTATGTATGTATGTATGGTGTGTGTGTCTGTATGCATGTATGTATGTTATGTATGTATGGTGTGTGTGTATGTATGTTATGTATGTATGTATGTATGTATGTATGTATGGTGTGTGTATGTATGTATGTGTGTATGTATGTATGTGTGTATGTATGTATGGTGTGTGTGTATGTATGTATGTATGTATGGTGTGTGTCTGTATGTATGTATGGTGTGTGTATGTATGTATGTATGTATGTATGTATGGTGTGTGTTTATGTATGGTGTGCGTGTGTCTGTGTATATGTATGTATGTATGGTGTGTGTCTGTATGTATGTATGTATGTATGGTGTACATGTGTCTGTGTATATGTATGTATGGTGTACGTGTGTCTGTGTATATGTATGTATGGTGTGTGTCTGTGTATATGTATGTATGGTGTACGTGTGTCTGTGTATATGTATGTATGGTGTATGTGTGTCTGTGTATATGTATGTTTGGTATAAGTGTGTCTGTGTATATGTATGTATGGTGTACGTGTGTCTGTGTATATGTATGTATGGTGTGTGTGTGTGTTATGGGAGTGGCGAGGCCCATCAGAATTGCTGACAACTCCCACAGGACCAAACCCTGCTTGAAGGGTGGGAGACGGCCACACAGGACAGGGTGCTCTGAGGACATCAAGGTGGGATCACCAGTATCACCAACACCCGGCACCTGCATGTACAGCCTGGATGTCATCAACCACAGAGAAAGGAGACCTGTGTGGCCCTCCACCCCACAGATGATTAGAACTCAGGGTCAAGGGAGTTATAGCCTTTCCCTCCGAGGAAACTCAGCTCTAAAGCAGAGTTCAACCTCCCCTTTCCCCAAAAAGCCAGGGGCCCCCTAAACTCAGGAAGCTGGGGGGAAGCTAGGGCACAGTGGTGTGACATCTCCCAGCCCGGCCCCCACCAATTTTTCTCTCCAAGACAGAGGTCCCCGTCCCACCCACTCGTTCCCCGGGACACAAAGAGAGGGGTCTGATGTATTACAAAACATCCCCAAGTTTTTCTGACAAGGCATTTATTAGCTCCTGAGTGTTTCGGGGCCAGGGCCAGGCTGGGGCCGAAAGCAAGCTCTGAGGAGTCCTGAGTGTGTGCCGTGGCGCGCTGGGGTTCCACCAGGGCCTGGAGACAGGAGTCTGGTGTGTGGTTCCACTTGGTCCTCCCTCCAGAAACAGGGGAGGTGGCCCTCCAACTGCAGCGTGCCCCAGAAGAACCAGTCCAACCGGTCCCTAGCCGTCCAGTTGCTGGCTGGCGTTGGTGTGGTTGGCGGCGGGGGTGGGACTTGGCTTCTCTATGTGTCCAGTGTCTATGTCGTGGGGTCACACATAAACTGCCCGCCGAGAGATGAGGGAGCCATCCAAATGAGATTCCATGTCGTCCTTGGGTGACTCGTGCGGAGGCAGCATGAGGCCTTCCTCAGCCTTTGTCTCTTCTTCCTCCTCCTCCTCCTCCTCCCGGCCATCTGGCCTCATGGGCTCGGGGGACGACGACCTCCAGAAGACAGGACCCCCGTTCCCAAACACCTGAGTCTTTGGATCGTAGGATCCTCGGTCGCCATCGCTTCCGCCGCCTCCAGGGCTCTTCCGCCTCCTCCTCCCCCTCAGCAGGATGAAGGCCAGGAACCCCCCAGCCAGAAGTAGCACCAGCAATGTTCCCCCCACGGCCCCCCACACCAGCGGACCCACATCTCGGGAGGCCTGGGGGGTGTCTGGGGAGAAAGGAAGGAGAGAGAAAAAGAGAGAGGGAGTCAAGGGGACACATGGGGGGAAGGGCACGGGGGAGACCCGGGACACTGGTTAGTGACCAGAACTTAGAAGGTGACTAACTGGGAAGGGAGGAGAGAGACAAGGATGAAGAGAAACGGGGAAGCGTGACCGCTCGCTTCAGGGCGGGCACCACACAAAGGAGAGGCCGCCAGCTGATGCTGCCTCGACAGCTATCTACACCCACGACGCCCTCGAAAGTGAAGACTGCGGCAAGGCGTGGTGGCACAAGACGGCCACCCAAGCACTTGGGAGATGAGGCAGGAGGATCCAGCCATCAGCGTCACCCTGGGCCACATAGTGAGACTCTTATCTCAAAAACTTGGAGAAGGGAAAGTTGCTGCGCTGAGGATGTTGGTCAGCAGTAGAATGTTTACCTACAGACCCCCAGTGAGGAGCGGGGGGCGTGGTTCAGTGATAGAGCCCCTGCCTAGAATGCCCCAGTGAGGGGCTGAGGTGTGGCTCAGTGGCTGGGGGCGTGGCTCAGTGGTAGAGCCCCTGCCTAGAATCCCCCAGTGAGGGGCTGGGGGCGTGGCTCACTGGAAGAGGCCCTGCCTAGAATCCCCCAGTGAGGGGCTGGGGGCGTGGCTCACTGGAAGAGGCCCTGCCTAGAATCCCCAGTGAGGGACTCGGCGGAAGAACATTTGTTTGCTTAGCCTGTTCGAGGCCCTGTATTCCATTACCAAACACGCAGAATTCAACCTATGTCTGTGACCTGCAATTGCACGTACTGAGGAAGCCAAGGTTAAGATCCCACGTTTGAGGCCAGGCTGTCTCCACCCCTCCCCCAAAACAACGGAAGACAATAAAACCAGTAACATGAGGTCGGGGAGTGGAGCCCCAGGCCCTTATAAGCAGGGGTGCAGGATGAGAGGCAGGTGTAGGTGGAGCCTCTCTATCCCCTCCCACTTAGGCCCAGAATGTGGAGGGGGGGCAGCGGGAGGCACCAATCACTGCTGTCTTCTCCGTTTGGAGGTCTCAAACCACCTCCCCCAACTCACACGGCCTCTCCCAGTGTCCCTGCACCCTGCCTGTCTCATGCCTCCCACAGTCCCCTCCCCACCTGTCCCCACGAGGGGAGCACAGGGAACAGGGACTCACCAGCACAGGGAACAGGGACTCACCAGCACAGGGAAGCCTTGCTGCCCACCCAGAGGCCTTTTTTACAACACAGCTGTCCTGTGGGCTGTCAGGATGGCTGTCAGCCCACTAAAGAGACAGATACAAACGGGTGCCGGAAGGTTCCCGACCAAAGAGCCTGCTGGTGGCCAGGTGTGAACGCTGCCTGGCCCCATGCAGCCAACTAGCATTCCCTACAGTGGACCTCCAGTCTGTGTTGGCCAAGCTAGAGGTTTCTACCAATACTCTCGGGTCTCTTTCCCAGCACTAGGAACCGAACTCACTCTTGTTCATACTGAAGGGGACCTCTACCACTGAGCTACGCCCCCAGACTCTCACTGGGGGATTCTAAGCAGGGGCTCTACCACTGAACCACACACCTTGCCCACCACTGGGAGATTCTAGGCAGGGGCTCCACCACTGAGCCACATCCCCAGCCCCTCACTGGGGGATTCTAGGCAGGGGCTCTACCACTGAGCCACACCCTGCCCCTCACTGGGGGATTCTAGGCAGGGGCTCTACCACTGAGCCACACCCTGCCCCTCACTGGGGGATTCTAGGCAGGTGCTCTACCACTGAACCACACCCCCAGCCCCTCACTGGGGGATTCTAGGCAGGGACTCTACCTCTTAGCTACTCTCCTAGCCAGTGTCATTATTTTTTAGATTTGGTTTTTGAGAGGATTCCATGTATCTCAAGTCATCCTAATCTCTTTATCTCTACCTCTCAAGTGCTGAAATTACAGGGCTGGGCTACCACACCCAGTTTCTGAGTAATGCTTTATTAGGCTGTCATGCCAGGCACAGCTATGGCATGCTTTCGATCCCATCCCAGCATGGCAGAGGCAGGCAGATCTCTTAGTTCAAGGCCAGCCTGGTCTACAGAGTGAGCTCCCCATCACCCAGGGCTACACAGTTTGACCCTGCCTCCACTGGACCTGGAGTTACAGACAGTCTCGAGCTGTCATGTGGGTGCTGGGGATTGAACCTGGGTCCTCTAGAAGAACAGTCAGTACTCTTAGCTGCTGAGCCATCTCCCGGGTCCCAGACACTAAGCACAGCACAGAGAGCTCTGTGAGTGAGGTCAGTGCGCCCCTCAGTCTTCATCAGAAATGTGGGTGCACCCATGAAGTGGGGGAGGAGGTTTGGAGCCTGGGCAGACTCTAACCCCTTGTGTGTGAGAGCTCAGGACGGTGGTGGCGCATGCCTTTGATCTCAGCACTCGGGAGGCAGAGGCAGGTGGATCTCTGTGAGTTCAAGGCCAGCCTGGTCTGCAGAGTGAGCTCCAGGGCATCCACCCTATCTTGAAAAACCAACCAACCAACTAACCAAATAAATAAATAAATAAATAAATAAATAAATAAAAGATTGCCAGTTGTCCACAGAGAGGCCCTCCACGCATCTGTCACAGTGTGTCCATTTGTGTTTTCATTGGAGAGAATCCAAAACCATGAAACTGTGAATGTGTGGGAACTACAGGGAGCGAGCCTGGGGGCGGGGCTTTGAGTCAGGACAAGTCCGAACCTCTGAGAGTGGCTGGACCCAGAAACCTGGCTTCCCTGGTGTGGGTGGACCTCTCCAACAACTGCCAAATGGATTTATTTCCTTCCTTTCTTCCCCTTTTAAAACACATGGCTAGCTTAGAACCTGCTGTGTTGACCAGGCTGCTCTCAAACTCAAAGAAATCCTCCTGCCTCTGTCTCCCAGGGGCTGTAATTACAGGGCGGTACCATCACACCCAGCTTGTTTGGTTTTCTGAGACGGGGAGCCTCAGGCTGCACAGACTGGACCGACTCTAGACTCACAATGCTGAGTGTTAAAAAAAAAAAAAACAACGAGGCAGAGCCTCCCATCCCCAGGGAATTGCCTTAAACTCAGAAAATACACTGCTCAAAGGTTACAGGAAGTCCCAGAAAGCGGTGAGAAGCAAGGCCGCCCACTCCCGCTCGAAGCGTTTATAAGAGCTAGGGAGGCGGAGAGACCTGCTCAGCAGCACAGACGAGACGAGCTGAGCGGCCTGCAGGATTGGTCACCCATGCTGCAGTGGGCTTTGACGACGCAGCCGTCCTGGCGCCATTTCTGCTCCTGCCCCAGCACAACTCCTGGGCTCACACAAACCGACCTGTCTTCGCCCATTCCCTGTGTTTGATCTTATGTACCCAGGACTAGCGTCCCCCAACAGGTGGGTCCAAGGCTACCTTTATGGGAGTCAAGGGTGACTTTTTTATAATGTGGTTTTCTTTGGGTTATCTGAGATTTCTCTCTAATGATTTTATTTTAATTTTTAACACACACAGAGAGAGAGAGAGGGAGGAAGAGAGAGAGAGGGAGAGAGAGGAAGAGAGAGAGAAAAGGAGAGGGAGAGAGAATGTGTGTGTGTGTGTATGTGTGTAGGTGCATGAATACATGCAATGGAGTGGGAAGCTTCAGATTTCCCTGTAGCTGGAGTGAAAGACGCAGATGTTAGTCGCCCAACACGGGTGCTGTGAACCCAGCTGTGTCTCTACAAGAGCAAGCACGCTTAACTGGTCCAGCAAGGTTTCTCCCTGCACTTGGGGCTGAGGGGCATCTGACTGTGTAGCGAACTATTTATTATGCAAGGCCTGGGCTAAGTAAGCCAGCTACAGCAGTGCATGCTCACCTCAGCACTTTGGAGGCAGAGGCTGGACAATTTAGAGTCAGAGATAGCCTGGGCTATATATATGTATATATGTATATGTATATATATATATACATATATATATATACACACACACAGCTTGTCTCCAAACATGAGAATTAGGAGCATACATGTACCTTTCCTCATCTCTGCCATGTGATGTCATGCTGTCTTTGAATGTATAAGCAGAAGGTTGTGAGTATATGAGACTCATAGGTCCCTGAGCCGGGGGAAACCTTTTTATAAAGAAGACTGCTTCAAAATAACAATGAAACTACCTGAAACGGTAATGATATAAAAATCTCAGGAGCATTTTTAAAAGAAAAACAGCAAAAGAAATAGAGAGATAGAGAGACCGTGTCTGTATCCTATATTCTTCAGGTCCAAACCTGGGTTGAGCCTCCTGAGTGTGGGGTCTAGGTGGAGACTTAAGGGGATTTCCAGCTCCGCATGTTTCCCAGTGGGCGGAGCTGGGCACCTCTGGATGAGCCTTAGCGTAGGAACTGTACCTGTTTGTCATCCCAGTACTAACGCACCTGGGGTCAAGAGGGAACCTCAGTGTGTATTGCAGATGGCCCAGTGACTCAGAATGTCTGTAACGGAGTTTCTGGATGCAGAGGCATCTTCTGGAATGTTCTTTGGGTGTGTGAGGAAGTAAGCTTCTGTGTGTGAACTGTGGCCCCGTCTGACAGTGTTTTCCTCCAAGGACATGTCCCAAGGGTTCAGAGCTAATGAACAAGGCAAGTTTCTGTTTCTACAGTCAGATCAGTTTGCCTCTGGGTGTCGGGGCAGAAGTTGTGTCTCAGCAAGGGTGTGTTCTCGAGAAGGGTGTGCATCACAGGGCCAGGCTATGCCATTTACTTCCTCTCTAGGCTGTTTTCTGTGTTTGCGCCTGGTAGGGTCACTATTTCAGATTCGGGTATCTGTACAGGCAAACTATGTGGTACCCACAGTGGTACTTCTAAGTCTTCTTTTTTGTTTTGACATTAAGGATTGAACTTAAGGTTTCCAACATGCTAGGCAGGGGCTCTACCACTGAGTCACACCCCCAGCCCCTCACTGGGGGATTCTAGGCAGGGGCTCAACCACTGAGCCACACCCCAGCCCCTCACTGGGGGGGATTCTAGGCAGGGGCTCTACCACTGAGCCATTTCCCTAGGCCTCTTCTTATATTTTATTTTATGATTTATTTTATGAGATTATGATTTTGTTCTGTAGCCCAGGCTAGCTAAGAACTCACTCTGTAGTCCATGTAGGCCCGGAACTGTCATTCTCCTGCCTCACCCTCGATCAGGTCTGGCTAAAGGTATTCCTAAGAATAGTTCTTTCCTGGTTCCTGTGGCATGTTATAGGCTCTGGCCAGTGTCATCCTTTCTTGGGGTGTGTCTCAGTGACAATAATTCTGACTATATGAGGTTACATCTGGGTGGCTGGACTTGCAAGTTTCAAGAGACTTCCCAGGCTTGGGTTCATCTCCAGTTTGCGAGTCTTGGCTGTGGCCCTCATGACTGAGCGAGCTATCTCTGTGTGGGTCTGTACATCGTGGTCACAAGTAGGCACGCTAACACTGTGACAGTCTTGTCTGCTGGGGGGGGGGGGGGGTCTACAGCTGTCGTTAGACCCTTCTCCCGCCCCAGACTCGAGCCTGCTTCACCATTCCCTTCTCTCCCTTTGAAACAGCATCTCACTATGTAGCACAGGCTAGCCTCACAGTAATCCTCCTGCTTCAGTCTCTTGAATAAATGCTGGGACTGTGGATGTGCATCCTACCCAGCTAAGGCCTTGGCTTTAAGACACCCCAGTGCAGGCCTCCACTTCCTAACTCCTCTGCCAGCTGTCCTGTCTGCTCACCCCCCCCCATTACAGCCCACACCTGCAGCCAAGATGGAGAACCCGAAACACACGCTCATTTATGCCAAGCGAGGCGGCCTGACTCCCTCTCGTCCTAGGGCAGCATCAGTGACACCCCAAAGAGGACCCGAGCCCCAAAGGGAGAAACCACAGGGCTTTATACTCAAATGCCGAGACTTCCTTACCTCGGACCAGGATGACCTGCTCAGCACGGCCTGTCCCCACAGCATTGGTGGCTGTACAGATGAAGGTAGTGTTGACCATTCGATCCACAGAGTGGACAAGCAGCTGGGACCCCTGGACGACTGCAGAGGCTGGGAAAACGCCCGACGTCCTGAGGGTGTGGGGTGAGGTCAGCAGCATCGCGGGCACCCAGGAAAGTGGGTCGCCCTGGAGACCGCAGCCGTCAGACTCAGGGGTCCAGACTCCTAGTCCTCCCTCCTTCAGACCCAGAGCTACCTCAGACCTAAGGCTCCGGACCCCGTGCTCTCCCCCACACACCCCCCGGGGTCACGTGACTCACGTGCTCCAGTCGTAGCCTGTGGGCTCCGGGTTGCTGCGTACATCACAGCTCAGGACGGCTTCGCTGCGGCCGATGTACCAGTTGTCATCATAGCCAGAGATGGACACTTCGGGAGGGTCTGAGAGGAAGGGACGGACGGCGGACTCAGAGACGAGCGGACCCCAGAACTGGGACAGGTTAGCAGCACAAGAGCCAGGAGACCCATCAGTCATAACGAACGAGGGTCAGCAGACTACACTGTGTAGGTTCCGACCAGTGTCGACCCCGCCCAGGAAGCCATTTGAAAGCCAGCTCAGACAGGGTCAAGAAAACAACTACAGTTACCACGTGTGCACACGTGTGCATAGGTGCGTGCCTCTGTGTGTGTGTGTGTGTGTGTGTGTGTGTGTGCGCGCGCGCGCGCGCGCGCGCTCCCGACTCAACATGCCTAGATCTGTCCACACGGGAGACAGTGCATCCGGGCGGTTTGGGTCAGCCAGTGTAGACTGACAGTTAAGTCAGGGTGCACAGGCTCACGTTCAGTGTCTCCGTTATGAATACGGCTGGAAAGAACCACTGTACACAAGGTAGGGGACTCTATCTCACAGCGGAGGGCACAAGGATTCCACTGCGACCCTGGGTCAGGTGTCACAGTACGCTGTCAGGGTGGTGCAAGGCTATCCTTAGCTACAAGGTGTGGGACTCTTTCAAAACAAAGGTTGGAGAGGTGGCTCGGCACTTAAGAGTATGTACTGTTCCTACTGAGAATTCTCCCCAGTACCCACATCAGGCAACTCACGACGGCCTGTGACTCCAGCTCTCGGGACATCTAAGACCTCTGGCCTACACTCAAGTGCATAGAAATAATTATAAATAGTAAAATAAGTGTTTAAGAAACAAAACAATCAGGCGGTGGTGGCGCACGCCTTTAATGCCAGCACTTGGGAGGCAGAGGCAGGCAAATCTCGAGTTCAAGGCCAGCCTGGTCCACAGAGTGAGCTCTAGAACAGCCAGAGCTATGCAGAGAAACCCTGTCTCAAAAAACCCAAACCAAACAAAATGGAAAAAATAAAAACAACAACAAAAAACCAAAACCCCAAAATAAAGCAAAACTTCCGTGCTGAGTGAGGCATGCCTTTAATCCCAGCACTTAGGAGGCAGAGGAAGGTGGAGCTGTCTCTGTGAATTGGAGGATAGCCTGGTCTACAAAGTTCTGGACCAGCCACGGCTACACAGTGAGACCCTGACCCAAAATTAAACAAAAACGAAGCAGGTAGAATTCCAGCCGCTTAAATTGTGTAGAGCATGCTGGGGGTGTCTCTCTAGATGAAACTGGGGGTTGTCACTGTAGGCAGTTTCTGGAGAAGCTAGTCCAGGATATTTTGGGAAGGCTGGGGGAATCCCAAGATCCCTAGGAGGCCAAAGGAAATAACACTTGGGAGCAGCGGTCAGTGGAGTGCCCCGGGGGAGGAGGTTTAAATGGGGGTGGGGGGGAGATGCTTGACTCGCAAGGCCCCTCCCAGAATCAGGCACAGTGGTCCACATTGTAATCCCAGCACTCCGGGATGCTGACTGAGGCAGGTGGAGACGGGGCTCCCGGGCTACGGGTGAGCAGGTCACCCTCAGCCCTCTGGGGAGTTTGAGGCTAAACCCTGCTGTGTGAAACTCTGTCTCCAGAAATGAGCCAATGAATGAACCAAGCGTGACAACAGTGGGCCGTGGTCCAGGAGACGTGCTACCTGGCGTCCCTGGCAATCAGGAAAAGACAATGGGGGCGAGGGGGGGGGGAATTGTTGACAACAGGCAAACCCAGTCAGGGCGGGGACAGCTTATGTGTCGCATTTTCCTAGTCTGGTCTCACACATCAGCGATTGGGAAGAAAGTGCCTTCTCCGCTTATCTTTGATTCCGGGGCGGGCAGGCAAGGAGCCCGAAAAAGCCCGCGCAGAGCTGGTGTGAACACCTTTAATCTCTCTCAGTTCCCGGGAGGAGCAGGGGGCAGGTGGCCCCGCAGCCCAGACTGGCTTACAAAGAATCCCAGGGTGGACCAGGGAGGCTGCGCGCGCCCGCGCGCCTGCACACACACACACACACACACACACACACACACACACACACACACACACACACACACACACACACACACACACACACACGCGCGCACACACACGCGGCCCTCAGAAACCAGTACAGGCGATGGGTGGGATTTGGCTGGTGTAAGCATGGCCAGCTCGGGCGAGGGAAAGCCACCTCGTGGCACACTCACAGCGCACGGAGAGGGTCACCGGCAGCAGGTGCGGCTCCTCGAAGCTCTCGTGTTCCACTCTGCACGTGACCTTGACGCCGTCCGCGCGGCCCACCGGCACCAGGGAGTACCGGCTGATGACGGTGATGGTGCCAGTCTGCGGCCCCGGCTCCTGAGTGTCTCGGGCCTCTCCACCGAGAGATGAGATCCAGGTGATCCGGGCAGGTGGGCGGCCTCCCGTGGAGACACAGCGGGCAACAGGCGTGGACTCGGGGCCGATCGTGACCTCCTGGGCTTCAGCATGATTCTCGGGTTGGGCTAGAGAGAGGACCAAAGGCGTGCGACTCATGGCTTGCACTCAACAAAGATCTGAGCAGCGGCTGCCGAGCCATGGGGTCACAGTCAGGCTGTGCGGCACCGGCTCAACGTCCAGACCATAGCATGTGCACAGACGTGGGCAGGCTATTCTAATCATTTCCTTCCTTCCTTCCTTCCTTCCTTCCTTCCTTCCTTCCTTCCTTCCTTCCTTCCTTCTGGTTTTTCGAGGCAGGGTTTCTCTGTAACTTTGGAGGCTGTCCTGGAACTCTCTCTGTAGACCAGGCTGGTCTCGAACTCAGAGATCCGCCTGCCTCTGCCTCCGGAGTGCTGGGATTAAAGGCGTGCGCCACCAACGCCCGACTTAATCATTTTCTATAGTGTCAGAGTAACCTAGGTTCCTGATGGACGGATCAAAGAACATGCTTAGGCTCTGTCTGGCACACATTATCCTAGCCTGTATAAGATTATGTATGGGGCTGGAGAGACGGCTCAGAGGTAAGAGCACTGCATGTTCTTCCAGAGGACCTGAGTTCAATTCCCTGCAACCACATGGTGGCTCCCAACCATCTATAATGAGGGCTGATGCCATCTCCTGGGATATAGATAAAAAACTGTATGCATAATAAATAAATAATAAAAAATGTGTGTGTATGTATGTATCTATCTATCTTTGGAAACTGGTCTCCCCATGTGGCCTTGGCTGACCTTGAACTCCCAGAGATCCACCTGCCTCTGCCTGAGTGCTGAGATTAGTTAAAGGTGTGCATCACCAAGCCTGTGTATGTGTAGGACATTTTACAATATCCGCACTGTCTCACGAGAAAGATACACAGGCTGGGGATGGCAGCTCATCCCTGAGACCCCACCACTGGGGAGGCCGAGGCAGGAGGATGGTGCGTTTGAGGGTGGCTTAAGCTACATCACAGTCAGACTCTGAATCAATAATAAAGAGCTAAGCGGGGTACGGAGAGCTGCTCGCCCATACTGGGAAGAGGAGGCGGGAGGGTCAGACGCTACAGGCCAGCCTGGGCTACAACAGTCTCTGTCTCAAAAACAAAACAACACCAAAGGCTCTAGATTAGTAAGTAAAAATCAAAAGTAGAGACAGAGTGCGATGTCCAGGAAGAAAATGAAAATTTTACAGCTGAGTTGAATAGTTTGAGAGTCTAGTTTGAGCCAGGGGCACGCCTTTAATCCCAGCATTCGGGAGACAGAGGTAGGTGGATCACTCAGTTTGAGGACAGCCTGGTCTACAGAGTGAGTACCAGGACACAGGAGAGTCAAACCTGCCTCAAAAAGAACAAAAAAGAAAAGAATAAGAGGAAGAAGAAAGACTAAAGACTGAGGTGTGGCTCCGTGGCAAAGTTCCTGCCTAGAATTCCCCAGTAAGGGTCTGAGTGGCCCGCCTAGAATCCCCTAGTAAGGGTCTGAGTGGCCCGCCTAGAATCCCCCAGTAAGTGTCTGAGTAGGCCGCCTAGAATTCCCCAGTAGGGGTCTGAGAGGGCTCAGAAGGAAAAGTCCTATTTCTTTCCCCATGATCACCATTGTACTTCCTAAATGGGGTAAAGACAAATAAACAACAGGGACCCCCAGTCGCTCCTCACTTTTGCCCTTCAACCTTATCCTCCCAGGGGGGAGGGCAAAGCACACACCCCGGGTGTCTCTTAACCAGTGTTGTCCCTGGAGTCAGAACTCATGCGTCTCCTGGTCCAAGTGGATCTTCCCAGCTGAGCTACCGGTCCCCTCCCCCCAGATCACCAAAGCACATCTGTCCATCGGGGGCCACAGGAGTGTCCTAGATCCTAGGCTGGGGGTTCTAAGCCCTTTAGTGTGGCCCCCACATCACCAGCCTTTCCACAGAGGCAGAGGCTTCTTTTCCCACAATGCCTGTGGCCGGACTGATGCTCTGAAGTTTACCTGCCCGCCCCCATCCCTCTCTCAGTACTACTGATGGAATAATCTAGGGCCTTGTCGGTGACAGCCAAGGCTTTGCCACTGAGCCCCCCCCCCATCACTTCAGTGTAGCACAGCCTAGGGACACACATCCGAGGACCCTGTGCACGCCAGGCAAGCACTGGCTACTGAGCAATGTTTGTTCATTTTTCTGCATTGAAGCCAGGTCTGGCTGTATAGCCCAGGCTAGCCTCACCCTCGCGATCCTGCCTCAGCCACGGAGAACAGGCACGCCTCCACACCTGGCTCCAAGCGTTGGACTACACTCCAGTCCAAGCTATCGCACAAGAACAGGGAGCTTTACGAGATGTGGGAGGCCTCTGTAGGGTGTGTGCTCTCTCTGAGGGGGGTTGGGGGGAGGTAGGATCTCGTGTAGACTAGCTGGCCTCAACTCACTTTATACACCTGAAGATGACTTTCAATTTCTGACTAATTCCAACTTCCAAGTGTTGGCGGTGCATGCATGCATGCATGTGCCCATTCTACCACCGAGCCACACCCCAGCCCCTCACTGGGGGATTCTAGGCAGGGGCTCTACCACTGAGTCACGCTCCCAGCCCCTCACTGGGGGATTCTAGGCAGGGGCTCTACCACTGAGCTACCCCACCTCACTGGGGGATTCTAGGCAGACAGTCGATGACAGAGCCTCATTCCTCTTTTGAGACAGAGTTTCTCTGTGTAGCCCTGAGTTTCTGGGATGACAGGCCTGCTCCCCGAGAACTGGCAAGAGCTATGCTCTGAGCTATGGAAGCGGCTCTTTTGGTGTCCCTTGGAAAGGGAACCTTCTGTTCCAGAATGTACAGGGAGGTTTCCAACTCTCTGGAGCCGGAAACGGGGAAATAACCTGGGGTGACTTGGTGTCTGGAGGGTTGGATGGTGTGGCTTGCAGGGGATTTTCCAGTTTCGGTGAGGAATCTCTGCCACTGTGCCAACTGGCCTCGTCAGTCGCCCGTGGCTGAGGCCAGCAGGCTGGGAGTCCTCTCTTCTGCTCTCTTGTGTCTGGGTACCGGTGTTTGCAGTTTCCACGGAGGAGAAAAGAGGGCGAGGTTACGGACGGCTGTGAGCTGCCATGTGGGTGCTGGGAATCACACCCAGGTCTTATGAGACAGGAGCCAGCCCACCGCGCCATCTTTTCAGCCCCATGGGTGTCCTTTCTGGTCCTCCTTCCCCCACCCCAGGGACAAAATTCCCTCTATTCTGCTTCCTCTCCCTCCTACCTGCACTGCCTCCCCCTGCGTCAAGCCAAAGCGACCCAAAGGCTCACTGTCCCCTCTTCCTGCCGCTCCAAGCCCCCTGCGCCATCACATGTTTTGATACAAACGATTTGTCCTGTGCCCTCTGTGACACTCAGGACGCCTCCTCACCAAGCCACGGCTCTCACTCTCAGGACAAAACCAGAGCGGAGTGTAATGGCCTAAATACCTACAGTCCTGCCCTGAGGCAGCGGGGCTGCTGTGAGTCTGAGGTCAGCCTGGGCTATATATTCAGCCCCGACCCAAGGAAAAAAATGCTGTTGTCTGCCATGTCCTTGGTAAACAGAATAGGCAAGTACCACTCAGTAGATGACAAATAAGCATTTATCAAAGGTAGGAGCCTTGGCTCCTCGGGAGATGGAGGCTACAGGATTTAGAGTCCAAGCCAACCTGGGTCTACATTTCTTAAAAGGAAGGAAGGAGCTGGGCAGGGGTTGGCGCCTTTAATGCCAGCACTCGGGAGACAGAGGCCAGCATGGTCTACAAAGGGTTCCAGCACAGTCAGGGCTACACAGAGAAACCCTGTCTCAAACCCCCGACTCCCCAAGAAAAGGGGGAACTAAGAAGGTAGGGAGCTCAGTCGGGAGACGGCTTGCCTAGCAGATACAAATGCTGGCTCTCCCCTCAGCACCAAATGATCTGAGCTCAGGTCCTCAATCCCAGCGCTCGGAGGCGGAGGCGGAGGCAAGAGTATCAAACTTTCCAGCCCATCCTGGGTCACACAGACGTCTGAGGCCGGAGCTGGCAAAAGCGTCTCAGCACAAGCCTGACTCTTGACACCCGGAGTCGGACCCCTAGGACCTCAAGGTGTAAGGAGAGAACGGACTCCCAGAAGTTGCCCACTGACCCCAAACCCTGCAGGACAGACACGCATACACACAGGCAGGCACACACACGCACCACATTTCTAAAATATAAAATTAAAAAGTTTGAGGCTGGTCGTTGGCGGTGCACGCCTTTAATCCCAGCACTCGGGAGGCAGAGGCAGGTGGATCTCTATGAATTTGAGGAGGCCAGCCTGGTCTACCAGAGCGAGTTCCAGGACAGCCTCCAAATCCACAGAGAAACCCTGCCTCAAAAAAAAAAAAAAAAAAAAAAAAAAAGACAAACAAACAAACAAAAAAACCCAACAATAAACAAACCCCAAAAGGTTTGAGCTTAACTACATGAGTTTCCATTCTCAATAAAAGGAAAACACAAACCTCAACACAAGCAAAAGACATTGGATAACACCTTAAGGAGCGTCAACTTGAAAACCGAGAAATAGCCAGGGAAGGGGCTCACACAGCGCGCCCCCACTCACCTATGACTCTGAGCCAAGTCACCCCGCGGCGGGTGCCGTTGGGAAAGGTGGCGAACTCGCAGGTGTAATTGCCCTCGTCCTCCACCCGCAGCCCCCGGAAGGCCAGCGTGGCATCGCGCAGGTCGGCGTTCGTCTCCTGGTTGGCTCTGACGAAGGACAGACGCTCCTTGGTGAACTGAGTGTTGGGGAAGTCGACGCCGAAGGACGGGTGGAAGGCGGCCACGACGGCGGCGTCCAGGCGCTGCCACGTCACCTGAGAGACACGCTCTGACGTGGGTGGGAGCAGGTGGCACGGCAACTCCACGGTGCCCCCCAGGCGGCCGTGGACCTCCGGGAGCACGCGGACCCGCACATCTTGGGCTCCTAGGGAGAGAGGAAAGAGGTCAGCCACCGAGGGAGGGACAAGCCAGCAGACTCCAGGACTGGCAGTGCCAAGGCAGAGAGAGGTGAGATCCCTGTTCACTCACTCACTCACTCACTCATCCATCCATCCATCCATCCATCCATCCATCCATCCATCCATCCATCCATCCATCCATCCATCCATCCATCCATCCACTCACGAATGAATGACAGGGTCTCATTATGCTGTAGCCAGGCTCACTATGTGGCCAAACACTGCCTTGAACTCACAGAGCCCTGTCTGCCTCTGCCTCCCAGCACTAAGACTAAAATTGTGCGCCACCACACCCAACACCCTCCTTGTCTCTCAAAGTTTATTTTTTAAGATTCATTTTTTCCGTTTATGTCATGGGTGCTTTGCCTGTGCGCCGTGTGCATGCAGTGCCAGTGGAGGCCAGAAGGGGGCGACAGAGCCCGTGGAGCTGGAGTTACAGCTGGTTTGGCGCCTCTAAGTGGTTGCTGGGAATTCAACCTGTATCCTCTGGAAGAACAGGCAGTGCTCCCAACAACTGAACCATCTCTCCAGCGCCCCACCTTATTTGAGACAGGGCCTCTGATTGGCCTGGAGCTCACCGGTTCAGCGAGGAGGGCCAGCAAGTCCCAGCGATCCCCCTGTCTCGGCCTCCCCAGTGCTGGCATTCCAATGTTCCATGCTGCACCTAGCTTTTGACATGGGTGCTGAGGATCAAATTCTGGTCCTCATATTAACACAGAAGGTAGTTTGCCCGTCGATTTGTCCCCCTGGCTCTGTTCTCTGTTGGAGAGTTGGCCCAGGGCTTCCCACATACTTGGTGAGCGTTTTACCCCCGGAGCTACACAGTCCTTTCTCCCGGACAGTTTGGTTACCGCCACCCCCGTTACTTCTCACCCCCCCCCCCATGGCTCCTGCCGAGCCCCTTTCTTGCCAACGAGTCTTCCTGACTTTCAAGTGTTTTCTTTTGTGAATGAGCATGGCGGTGGGCTATCTACCAGAATATAGTCAACAAGCCTGAGGCTAGACCACTTAAGAAAATGACTCCCTTTAATCCCGGCACTGGGGAGGCAGAGGCAGGCGGATCTCTGTGAGTTCCAGGACAGCCTCCAAAACAATATAGAGAAACCCTGTCTCATGAAACCAAAAAAAATTTTTTTAAATATTTGATGTTGTGGAGGTGCACGCCTTTAATCCCAGCACTGGGGAGGCAGAGGCAGGTAGATCTCTGAGTTCAAGGCCAGCTTGGTTTACAAAGCAAATATCAGGACAGCCAAGGCTATACAGAGCAACCCTGTCTCAAAATACCAAACCAAACAAAAACAATTATTTGACATGTATGGGTGCTTTGCCTACATGTATGTCTGCACTACACGTGTGCCTGGTGCCTGTGGAGTCCAGATCCCCTGGAACTAGAGTTACAGACAACTGAATTGTTGTGTGGGTGTTTAGACTTGAACTCAGGTCCTCTGGAAGAGCAGCCAGTGCTCTTAACTACCAAGCCAACTCTCCAGCCCCCAATTGCTCACATTAAAAGCAAACTTCATTTTATGTTTACGTGTACGGCGCGTGTGTGCAGGTACCTACGGAGGCCTGAAGAGGGCGGCAGATCCCTTGGAATCAGAGTTACTGGAAAGGGAGTTAGGCCCTCTCTCTGCAGTAACTGTTGAGTCATCTCGCCAGTACCTGTCTCCCCACTTTGAACAGAAACAAGGAAGCCTGTGTCTTGGCTTCGGGAGGAAGTACTCCACGATGGCCCAGGGCACAGTAATGTGCGGGTTTGTTTAAACCCGGGCTCTCACATCTCTGTGCCTCAGTTTCCCAGCTGGGTAATGAGGACATAATGACAGTGTCGCACCCTCCAGGGGTGTTACGACGACTAAGGAATGCTTGGAGAGCACTTTAGTGCAGGTCCACAGGAAGCTTGAACTTGGTAAACAAACAAAGAGGCCGGATAATTACAAGTGGCCATTGACAGTGAGCCCTGAGGTAAGGACACAGGTCATGACGTGTCTCCCTGAGCAAAAGCTCACAACCATCTGGAGGGAGAGCTGCCCTCCAGCAGCGGTGAGTGTGTACAGTCCCGGCCTCGTCACACGCAAGAACCCAGGGGAACCGAGGTGTGGTAGCAAAAGCTTTTAATCTCAGCACAAGCCGGGAGTTGGTGGCACACGCCTTTAATCCCAGCACACGGGAGACAGAAGCAGACGGACTTCTGTGAGTCCCAGGGAGACACAGCTAGACCATGCCTCAAATAAATATAAATATAATATTCAGAGACTGGAGAGGTGGTGGCTCGCAACCTTCTACAGCCTCAGCTCTGCCTCAAACACCGTGCGCGTACGGTGCACAGACACTCATGTAGGCACAACACCAAACACTTACAAATAATCTTTACCAAAGAGCCCTGGTGGCCCCGATGAGGGGATCTGGCAGAACACAATACCGTGTACAGACATGTCGCGCCAGGGAGGGTGGACAATGCCTCACCACTGAAACCTAGCCCACCTTAACCAAAAGGGCTTTATCCTCTGCGGCAAAACAGATCTATGAGGGCTGGGGAGAGTATAGCTTAACCCCTGCCTAGAATCCCCCAGTGAGGGGCTGGGGTGTGGCTCAGTGGTAGAGCCCCTGCCTAGAATCCCCCAGTGAGGGGCTGGGGTGTGGCTCAGTGGTAGAGCCCCTGCACAGCACATGGGAAGCCCTGGGTTCCAGCCCTATCACAGAGGGGCAGCAGAAGCAGAAGTACTTTTTAGCAGAATTGCAGCACAGATAGCTGTGAGCTCCCTGCTGGTTGTTGCTTCCAGGCTGGATGACCTTTTCAAGCCCAAGTTCTTCCATGTGTAAAATGGAGACGTTTAAGCCACCCTGCAGGGTCCCCTGGGACAATTCCAGTAAAAGATCTGACACTCTCTGCAGGCCAGGTCACGGGGTCGGTGCCTGTCCCCACGGGCCACATCTGGCAGGGTTCTCGTTTGTTTCGGCCCAGGCAGAGGTTTTAGTCAGGGCCTTATTGTGTGGCTCCAGTCAGCCTTGAACTCACATCAATCCTCCTGCCTCACCCTCCTTGCAGACGTGAATTAGGGCAGCATATGGAGCTAGACAGCAAGCGCATTAAAGAAAACAAAACGGGCTCGAAGCAGTCAGTGAGGGGTGGGTGGGATGGCTCAGTGGGTAGGGGTGACTGCTGCCAAGGCTGACAACCCGAGTTCAATCCCCGAGACCCACTAGTGGATGAAGAGTTGTCTTCCGACCACCACACATATACTGTGAGCTCTCTCTCTCTCTCTCTCTCTCTCTCTCTCTCTCTCTCTCTCTCTCTCTCTCTCTCTCTCTCTCTCTCTCTCTCTCTCACACACACACACACACACACCAAATAAATGCTAAAAGTTCATTCCAACACTGAGGAGGCAGAGACACGGGGGAACCCGAATCTGAGGCCAGAGAGTCCCAACTTAACCTGTGTTACACAGGGAGGCCCTGTCTCAAGTCAGTAATATATGGAAAAAATACAAATAGCAAAAATCTTCCTGCCTCAAGACCTTCAGACTAAGGTTCTAGTTCTAAATAAAAATAACATGCAGTAGGGCGGTGGTGGCGCACGCCTTTAGTCCCAGCACTTGGGAGTCAGAGGCAGGCGGATCTCTGTGAGTTCGAAGCCAGCCTGGTGTACCGAGCGAGTTCTGGGACAGAGAAACCCTGTCTCGAAAAAACAAACAACAAAGCAACAAAAACCAAAACAAGCAAAACAAAAAGAAAAGAAGCATGGGATGTTCACCGTTGTGGGATGAAGTGTCTGCTGGGATTCGAGCCATGTGCCCTACAGCCCAGCATTGTGTTTGTTTTATGAGATGGTAAGGAACTCAAGATCCCGGGGTCACCTGCTTGCGCCAGCACCCCACCATCAGGAGGAGCCCATTTTTAAGGCCCATCTCTGTAGGATCCATCTTTAAAATCTATCTTCATCTGGACCAACATTTCCTGAGTGGGTCCACACAGCCAGAGAGAAACGATGGTAGCAGTCCCTCTGCTCTGCTTGGAGCCTTCGGGGCTCCATTCGCTCTCTGAGCCCCGTGTGTTCCCACCCATCCCATCTCCCGGCTCCTCTCTGGTCCTCTGGCCCAGAAGATTCTGTTCTACCACAGGGCCTTTGCTGTTTTCCATCCCCAGCAGTGAAGCATGGCTTCCTTATCTTGATTAGTGAGATCAGCTCTGATCACAATAATGATAACAAGGATTCTTTTTTTGAGGGTGGGGAGGGGTGGATTTCGAGACAGGTGTAACAGCTCTGGCTGTCCTGGACCTAGCTCTGTAGATCAGGCTGGCCTCGAACTCACCCAGATCCGGGACTGCCTCTGCTGGGATTAACGACGTGTATCACCCCCGCCCGGAGATAACAAGGATCCTTAACTCGCTCCCTCGCCCCGACGTGGCACGACCACCTATCTCCCCAGCAGAGCCGCGGGGGCAAAGAGGTCTTTATTTATTCACCCCTGTATCCCAGAGCCTGGAACAGTGCCTAGCATTCCAGAGGTGCTCCGTAAGTGCGCGGGGTGAACGGAGAGGCCATCAAAAACGGTGCCAGACGACCAGGCACGGAGGCAGACACCTGCCACCCTAGCCCGGGAGAGACTGACACAGGGAAGAGCCTATGCAGCCAGCACCCGTCTTACAAACAGCAAACTGTGCTGCGTCCGGCACACGAGCCACGACTGAGTCAGAGTGTGCCGGCTTTTAGTGGGGGAGCCACGGGCGTGTAAGCATGGGGGAGGGAGGGCGGGGCAAAGTCTAGAAAGATCAGTGACATTTAAGAAAGGGCTTCTGGGTCAGTGCAGGGGCTGTGCTGATGGAGAAGGATCTGGATGGAAACTTTTCTTCCAAGCGGGGATGAGTGTGAGACTCGATAAGGAAGACTGGGGGAGCCCTGGTGCCTGGAGATGGTGGGGTGAGGCGGACGTGGGGAGTCCTCCTCGTGTCACGTGGGGAGGCAGGGGAGATGAAGTCATGAAGGCAGGAAGATTCCAGGCCTGGTTCTAAAACACACACCTCCTGGCTGGGCGGGAGGTGGCGGTGCACGCCTTTAATCCCAGCACTTGGGAGGCAGAGGCAGCTCTGTGAGTTCGAGGCCGGGCTGGGCTATAGAGCGAGTTCCAGGACAGCCAGGGTGATTACACAGAAATCTTGTCTCGAAAAACGAGAGAGAGAGAGAGAGAGACAGAGACAGAGAGACAGACAGACACACAGAGACAGAGTAGCATCTCATACAGGCAGCACGGCAGGTGCTGTGGTGTGACCTTGCAGGGACACAGCCAACACCACGCCCCAGAGACAGTGGCCAGAAAAATGGCCCGTGGGAACACTTGGTTCTCTCCGCTTCCCTCAACAGGACTGACTGGTGACAGCTCCATAGAGATGTCAGCTGGGTCCTCGAACACACTTCCTCTCCCTAAGGACTGGAAGAGCAGGCTTCCGGCGGGTCAGCGTGGGGACTGCCACGGGCATAAGGAGAGCCTAGGGTGAGAGCAAAGACCCAGGGGAGCCTCGCAGCTGGGGTCTCCTAACTGAGGGAGGAGGGCTGGGTCCTCTATGCCAGGCCCGCAGGAGGAAGGTACAGAAAGCTTGTAACTGGACCCCCGGGGCTCTTTGAGTCCTGCCTGGCTGGCTCCTGAGGCTCATCTGGCCCCCGCGCACCTGTAAAACCTCAAGTGTCCAACCCTCCCCCCACCATGACAGGGTGGGGCTGGCCCGGAACATCAGCTGCTGCCTCAGCCACCTGGTTAATTAATTAATTACATTAATCAGGGTTCCCGCCCCCACGGCGGACATCCGGAGCCTGTCTGAGGGGGAGAATTTACTACCTGTGACAGGATACAAGACCTGGGCTACGTCTGGATTTCCATGTGGCCTCAGTTTTAACGCTCGAGGGCTATACGGGGTGCCTCTGGGCCCTTGGATGCTCAGCCTTCCTTTGCTACAGGGGCTCAGCTCCCAGAGGACCTCCTCCTTGAAGGACAGACTCATCAGGGTGAAGCTCTCCCAGGCTCTTCCAGGCCGGGCCCTGGGGCAGATCACTCCCACATCCTGCCAAGAGAGGCGGACACCTTAGTGTCCATCCCAGTCCCAGGAGACTCTGGCCTCTGTCTGTGTCCAGGTCCTTCCTACTTCTAGGATCTGTACCCTCTCTCCATGTCCCGTGGCTTCTCATCCCCCATAGCACCAGACTCCTGCCTACTTAGCTAAATTATATATGTGGGGGTCCTCAATATGTACATTCTCTGATTAGACCGGACGGCCTTTGAACTCAGATCAACCCACCTCTGCCTCCCAAGCTCTGGGATTTAAGGCCACCATGATACAAAGTAACGATATTTTTTTCCCTTTTGACACAGGGTCTCTTGTAGGCAGGCTGACTGGAATTTAATAATGTAGCCAAAGACGACCTTGAACTTCTGACGTCCAGGTCTCTACCTTCCGTTTTCAGGATTGCAGGTGCACACGACCCCTGGTGATTCATTTGGAGCTAGGGATGGAACCCCAGGTTCAAGCACCACAGCCCAGCTGGTTTGCTTCCCCTCTGCTTTTCTGAGAGACGGTCTCGGGTAACTGTGGCGGGCCTCAACCTCACTAAGTAGCGATGTGATCTTGAAGTCACGTTTACACTGCAGTCTCGGGCCACCATGCCTGCTTTAGGAAGTGGGGAGGACGGGACCCAGCACACCCTGCCTGCTAGGTGAACACTCTACCACTGAGTCACAACCCAGCCCATCTCTCTCTCTCTCCTCTGTTTTCTTTTCCTTCCTCAGCTCCACAGCCACGGCTGGCCTGGGGCTCAAGATTCTGCAGCCTCAGCCTCCCCCACGCCGGCGCTAAGATTACAGGCCTGCCTCCTCTACTCTCTGAGATAGGGTCTTTCTTTCTTTCTCTTTCTTTCTTTTGGTTTTTTTCGAGACAGGGTTTCTCTGTATTGTTTTGGAGGCTGTCCTGGAACTCGCTCTGTAGACCAGGCTGGTCTCGAACTCACAGAGATCCACCTGCCTCTGCCTCCCGAGTGCTGGGATTAAAGGCGTGCTCCATCCTTCGATGCAGCTCAGCCTGGCCTTGAACTCGCTGCAGTCCTCCTGCCTCAGCCTTCTTGAGTGCTGGCGTTACAGGTGTGTGGTCACCACTCCTGCCTTAAGGCTTCTGTTTCTGTGACCCTGGGATCTTTGTGTCCCTGTGTCCAGCACCCACCCCTCGTCACAGCTCCTGACACGCTTTCTCACTGCCTGGGCCATCACCCTGGGTCCCTCTCCTCCCCCTCCTGTTTCTCAGCATCGCTGGGACATTAAAAATGTAACAGCATCCCAGGCGGGGGCAGCGGAGCTAGCCCTTGTGCAAGACTCCCTGTCCCTTCGTCATCTTTAACTCCCCGTGGCCCTCCACGCTGGCTGGCCTTGGGGCTGGCCTGCGCTCTGACCTCTCTGGGTCACAGGATCTCCACAGTCCCTTGGCGGGTGTCTTCCCTCCTGTCACCAAACGTCTCGGCCCTTCTGGTGTCCCTGCCTACACCGCTGGCCCTCTCTGCCCTCCCCCGAAGATCTTCCTTCACTCTTGAGCATGACTCCATCCTCAGATCAGATTCTCGGTCCCCTGGTCCCCTCCCTCTCTCTCTCGGCTTCTGTCCCTTGTCTGCTCTCTAGCCTGTCCCCTGCCCCCCCCCATTTCTCTTCTGCTCAGTCCCTGCTCCCTAACAAGAAGAGACAGCCAGGGCTGCAGTCCCTTGCCTCCCCTCCCCCACCGCGGTGTGGGGCTGCCTGGCAGACATGGATGAGCAGAGAGAGAGAGAGAGAGAGAGAGAGAGAGAGAGAGAGAGAGAGAGAGAGAGAGAGAGAGAGATGGGGAGGAGTGGGGAGGGAGGAGCCAGCTCAGGAGGTCCAGGTGTTGAAAGCCCCATTCCCCTTGAGGAGGCCAGGAAGGGGAGAGGCTCAGGGGCTAGAGCCAGGGGACACAGATGGAGGGAAAGGAGAGAGGAGATAAGAAACAGAGATTAGGATGGGAAGGAAGAAATAAAAGGAGTTGTGAACGGAGGGAGAGGAGAAAAAACAAGGGAGCCGGGAATGAGGAAGTGGAGGTAGGGGCGGGTGGGTTATGGCCCAGGTCTCCTTCACAGCTTTCTCCCGGTGTGCCCAGCCCCTGGGAATCTCCCTGGGGGTCCTGCAGAGGGGTCAATCAGTCGTCGCCTTAGGTCTAGGAAACAGGAAGCGCTGGGAACCTGCCTGGCAAGACCACTGGATCGCTGGCTTCCAAAGCCTCCAAGGGACGGGAGTGGACCTTTGGAAAGAGCATGGGCTTTCTGTTTCCTACTCTGCAGGCTCGGAGGAGGAGCAAGGTTTGTTTTGGGGTTCTGCTCCCTCACTCAAATCAACGCCGGGCTTGTAGGGTATGGCGGGCTTTGAAAATTCACCCAGAGTGGCAGGTCCTGTCGCTGTGAGACAGGCAGGGAGCTCAGTGGTCGAGGCTTGACGACCTCGAAGGAGGTATGCGGAAGGAAAATGAGGCCAAAGGAGTGAGTCTCTCCAAGATCCACCTGGTCCCTCTGAGGATACCCTCGGGGGACTCCACACCCCCAGGTCCGTAGTTCGCAGTTAAGTTAGCAACACCGGGTCACCGGTCACCTGCTGGGGCGGGGCGAGGTCAGCACACCTGTTCCCCCCCCCCCCCCCCCCCGCCTCCTTGGGGGCCTTTCCCCTCCGGGAGTGGGGGGTGGGAAGGGGCGCGGGCCTTAGGGGGAGGAGACTCCTCCCGTTTACCTCTCCGAGCGCTCGGAGGACAAAGGCGTGGCCAGAGGAAAGATAAGGTCCCGAAACCGGGAGTCGGGACTCCGGAGCGCTCCAGCCCCGCCCCGCCCCTCCCAAACTAGGTGAAAGCGATACCGGAAAACTTCCCCGGGGACGTCGCCACTGGGCGCTCGCAGGCGAAGGGGGAAGGGGCGAACTCCAAAGCTCCCCGCCCCCGACTCTGCTGGGACTCAGCCGACAAAGTCCTCACTTCTAGGCAGAGCCTTTTAGTCTTGGATTATATTTGGGGGCCAAAGGTCAGAGTTCCCAGGGCATGAAATTCCATTCCCTACAGTTCAACCCGAAGCTGCCAACCTAGTGCCACTGTACCCTAACTGTCCCCGGACCCCCACCCCAGCGAGCAGAGCTCTTGGGCCACGGTTAAACCCGACACCCACAAGTTTGAGCCCCTTTCCCGCCTCCATTCCACCTGGATCCCGGCTAGGATCGCCCTGAATTCTGGGGGCAGAACCCCAGAGACGGGTGGCCCGCGCCCGCGAACCCCCGAGGCCCGAGGCTTGCGCTCGGGACCCACACCCTCGCCCCAGAGTGCCCCCAACCTCACCACCGGCTGGCCAGGGCCCCCAGAGGCCCGAGATCCCCACCCTCGGTCTAAGGAGCCTGGGCTGCGGGTCCCCCCCGGGCCTCAGACGCCCGACCTCGCCACGAGGAAAAGAAGAAAATAAAGGGGGGGGCGGTGTCGTCCCTCCTCACCGCCACGACCCTCCAGCTAGAGTGAGTGGGGGGAAACATTCCTCGCATTCCTGCGGAGGGGGGAGCAGAGACGGAAATCCAGATCCCGGAGAAGTGGTCGGCGGCGCGGGATGGGGAGGGCTTAACCCCTTCCACCCCGAGGGAGGCGGAGGGCGCAGAGAAGCCCGGGGGAGAATGGGCACGAGGGGGGTGCAGGGAGGGAGGCGGGGAGCGCCGGAGACGGAGCGCGGGGGGGGGGGGTTGCGGGGATCTCCTCCGGGTCGGCAGGGCCAGGCTGCAGGGGGGCACGAGGGAGGGCAGGGGCCTCGGGGAGCCGGGAGCGAGCCGGGGGGCGATGCCCCGGCTCCCTCCGCTCTCAGGGCAGGGGCAGGCGCGCGTCCGCGCGTTTTCACCTGTTTCCTGGAGCAGGAGCAGAAGCAGCGGCAGCAGCGGCAGCGACGGTGACAATCTGGACGGCGGGAGGACCGCGGCCCGGGCCATGGGGGGGCCCGGGGAGGGACTGGGCCCGGGCAGGGGGCGCCGAGGGACCACGCCGCGTTCGCCGACCGGCTGCGAGGGCGGTCAGGGGCCTGGGGTGCCCGGCTCCAGGCCGGTTCCCGCCGACCACGGCTCCCCGGCTCGGTCCTCTCGGCCCAGCTCTGCCCCGCCTGGCTCTCAGGATCCGCGCCCCCCGGCCCCTCGCTTAGCTCCGGCGGGCCGGGCCCGTGACGTCACAGGCCCCGCCCCTCGCCTCCGAGCCTAGCCTGGGACCCAAGGCCCCGCCCTCTCCCGGAGCGCTGGCCCCACCCCTCTCGAGTCCCACACCTGTCCGGCCCCACGACTCTGTCTCCGCCCTCTCCTGGGACTAAGCACCGCCCCCTTTGGCCATGCGACCACGCCCACTGCCGATGAGCCACGCCCCCGCGGGGCCCGGAAAAGTCCCACTGCGCCCCCTACTGGTCGTTCTACTGAGATGCGGTCACACGCCCCCCTTCCAAACTTCCGGTCGGCTCCGACCGGCAGAAGCCCAGCCTCCTGGTCCAGACCACGCCCCCCTGCCCTCTGGTTAGCCTGAGTCTGTGGGCTCCCATAGGGTCTCCCTGCCTGAGGCACCGCCCCTCGACGCGGCCACGCCCCTTCCCCGCCCTTCCCCGAGTCCCGCTGCTGTCGCGGGGTCGAGGTCACTTCTCAGCGGGCTCGGTCCCCTTCTGGTGTCGGCCCTGGCTGGGTTCTTGGGCCGCCGCATCGTCTCTTCCCGCATGTCTCTCTCTGCCTCCCGCGCCATCGTCCCCGTGTTTCTCTGTTGCTCTGCCTCTGGTGTTCCTTTGTCTACCCGTGTGTGTCACTTGGTCCCCACGTCTCGTTGCATTCCCTTGACTGTGTGCGTGCGTCTGTCTGTCGTCTGTCTGTCCGCATCTGTCTTTGCGGCAGTCATTTTCTGTTTTCTGTCTCGTGGCTTTCCCTGTACAGAGATGTCACTCTTACGTTTCTGTCCCCGCATCTGGCCTCTGCGTCCCTCGTCCCTCCCGCCCAGCATCCTTTTTATACCACAGCTGCCCGCTAGGTGACAGCACAGACCAACCCGCCGGGCCGAGCCCCGCTGGGTGGGGCTGGACCAGTCACGCCTGCCCCTGGCCCCATGAGTCCCTCCCCATGTCCCACTTTCTCTCACCAGCGTCCTCTGGGCTCAGTGGCTGGTTGTGACTCGGCCCCTTTGTCTCTCTAGACTCTCCTTCCCTCCCTACCCCTACCTGCCCGCCTCTTCACAGTCCCAGGGCCGCTGAGGGGAGCTGACGAAGCCCATTTGGCGGGGCGAGGGACGACAGGGACAGGAGGCACAGGAAGGGGATTCAGCTGCGGGGGTTTTCCTGACATCCAAATCCTACCCCAGGGCCAGCCACTTGAAGGTTCCTTGCAAGAGAGCCACCTTGGCTGGAATAGGGCCCCTTCTCCAGCATGCCACATGCCTGGATCCCCTCCCTCAGGGGGCCCCCCAAGAAGTGGAGGCTGGCTCGGACCTACTTGTTAAGGATGCTATTCGTCTGTTTGCTCGCGGCTGAAGGTCAGACGACAACTTGCTTTGAGTTGGCTCTTCAGTCAAGTGGGTGCTGGAGCCCCAACTCTGACGGTCAAGCTTGGTGGCAAATGCCTTTACCTGCTAAGCCATTCATTCCGCCCACCTTGGTTTTGTTTTTATGAGACAGCGAGCGTCCCATGTAGTCCTGGCTGGCTTCCAACTAGCTGTGACGCTGAGGAGGACAAGGCTGGGGTCCCAGGTGTAGGCTGACACTCCTGGTTCTGTGGAGTTGGGGGCGTGGGGGGGTTGAGATGACCTAGCTCTCTCTATCTGGGCTGCCCCATATCCCTGTAACGAAACTGCAAAGCGTGTTAACTTTTTCTGTCTATGAGGCACTCAACTAAGCCTGCTGCAAATAACACCCCAGCCCCTGTTAAACCTTGGGGGAGGTAGGGATACGGAGTCATGGGGAGGGGAAATGGCTTGGTCCCAAAGGCAGGTCCAGAAAGGACACTATTCGAAAATCCCCGTCTTTGTTCATCGCTCACAAGAATCTCAGGAAGAACCGGGGGGCGGTGGTGCTCCGTCTTTATTCCCAGAACTCCGGAGGCAGAGGAAGGCGGATCTCTGAGATTCAGGCTACTCTGGTCTACGGAGTGACTTCCAATCAGCCAGGGCTACACAGAGAGACTCCGTCTCAAAAAAAGAGCAAAACAAAGAATCCTAATAAGGGGACACTATCATAATGGTCCCCATGGGTGAAAGATAAACAGGCACGGGATCTTTCCAGACCACCAGCCAAGAAGCAGCAGAATGAGGCATGGACCTGGACAGCTGGTGTTTTTAGTAAGGGTGCAACCTGACTTCCTGATGCCATCTCTGGCTTGGAACAGGTGTGACGCAAGGTCAGCTGTAAGAATAATAGGCACAGAGTAAATGCAGTTTAGATCTCCATCACTTTCCCGTCCTAGGCAGAGTCTCACTATGTAGCCCTGGATGGCCTGGAGCTCCCTTTGTAGACCCGGCTGGTTTTTTTGTTTTTGCTTTGCTTTCTGAGACAGGGTTTCTCTGAGTAGCCCTGGCTGTCCTGGAACTCGCTTTGTAGACCAGGCTGGTGTCAAACTCACAGAGATCTGCTTGCTTCTGCCTCCTGTGTGCTGGGATTAAAGGCGTGTAACGCCACCACCCAGTTTCAGACTGGCTTTGAACTCACAGAGATCTGCGGGCCTCTGGCTTTGAGTGCTGGGATTGAAAAGTGTGGGTCATCGTGCCCAAAGCCTTGACGCTTTTTTTTCCTGTTTTTGAGATTTATTTACTTTTGTGTATAGGAGTATTTTGCCTTCATGTATGTGTGTGCACCACATGTGTTCCTGGTGCCTGTGGAGGCCAGAAGAGGACACCAGATCCCCTGGAACTGGAGTTAATGATAGCTGTGAACTTACGTGCGGGTGCTGGGAATCAATCCCCAGCCCTCTACAAGAAAGGACAACAAATGCTCTTCGTCACTTGGTCATCAATGGAGAAATGGAGTGTGTGTGTGTGCGCGTGTGTGCGTGTGTGTGTGTGTTGTTTTTGTTTTTCGAGACAGGGTTTCTCTGTATTGTTTTGGAGGCTGTCCTGGAACTCGCTCTGTAGACCAGGCTGGCCTCGAACTCACAGAGATCCGCCTGCCTCTGCCTCCCCAGTGCTGGGATTAAAGGCGTGCGCCACCACCGCCCGGCTGTGTGTTTACATTTTTAAATAATTCTTGTTTAGGAAGGGTTAATGTGCCACAGCCCGTGAACAAGTTGCGGGGGTCAGTTCTCTCCTTCAGTATCGGTGATCGCCAGGGAGTGAACACAGGCTTGGCAGTAAGTACCGTTACCTGCTGAGCTCTGGGTCATGCCTCCTCTCGGCGCACCCCTCCCCCTTCTCTTACTCCTCTCCTTCTTCTCAGGGTGGGGAGGGCATGCTTGGAGGTTCAGAGGACAGATCTAGGGAGTTGATCCTCTCCTTCCATCATGATTCCAGAAACCGAACTAAGATGGTCATGGCATAGCTTTTACCATCGCTGGCTCTTTTATCCCAACCCAGCTAAAAATGGAGGAGGTCTAGGGTGTTAGCGTCGACTTCACTATTGACTTTGTAAAATTTTGCCTCCTGCCCTTTCTCCCATGAGTCAAAGAGTCCGTGTGTTGGATGGTCTTTTTCCCTTTTGCACCTGCTTTTTTGGAACGCCACCAAGTGGGCTTGGCTCTCTCTTGGCCGGTCTTTGTGGGTAGGGCCGGCTCAGGAAGGAAGCCAGCGGAGTGCGGCCCGGAGTGTGGAGCTCCCAGATTACATGCCTATGAGGCATACTTAAAACTGAAGATCAACTTGGTTTGTTGACAAAGGACTGGGTGGGTCTCATTCCTTCGAAGTCAGCTTCCAGGGTCAAGGAGTCCCAAAGGTAGCTCTTCACTCACGAGCCAGCCGTAAGCTTGCTGGGCAGAAATCCAAAGGCTTCCTGTTCCAAGTCACTTACCTGCTCAGCAACCCTGCTCTTGCACACAGAGGAAGCCACAGCCACCTTTCTTTGGCCTGGCAAGCGTGGAGCGCCCCCCCCCTCATGGGTGGTATTGTGAGGGAAGTGGATTTGACCTCCTGGATCTAACTGAGCCTGAAGACAGCTTGCCTTTGAATTTCCCAGTTGTACATCTAACTTTTACTATTGTGGGGGGAAGGGGAGGGGGTGGGGGAGGTGGGGGATACTTTTTAGAACGGGTCTCAATCAGTAGCTTTGGCTAGCCTTGAACTCCAAGAACTCCACTTACAGCCCTAGGCTAACCTCGGATATGCAGTAAACCACCTGCTTCTGCCTCTCAAAGGCTTGATTCCCAGCATGCACCACTGTGTGGTTTTGGTTTTTTCTTCCAGATTCGGGGTTGGAGGGTGGGGGATAGGGGCTGTCTCATTACATCACAGCCTTGGCTGGGTTCAACCTTGCAGGGATCTTCCTGATTTCCCTCTATGTCCTTCTCAGAATACAGGTGTGAACCACCGTGCCTCTCTGGACTTTATTTTTTTTTAACTTATTTTACGTGAATTGGTGTGAAGGTGTCATATCTCAGGACTGGAGTTACAGACAGTTGCGAGCTGCCGTGTGGGTGCCGGGAATTGAACCGAGGTCCTCTGGGAGAGCAGCCAGTGCTCTTAACCACTGAGCCATCTCTCCAGCCCCCTACCTGGACCTTACGTGAAAATTCTACTCCCTCCCATATTTGATTAGTTGTTTATTCAGTATTGTGTGTGCTCCGCCCGAGGTGCTTGTGTCGAAGGCAGCCTGTGTGAGGTAGTTCTTGCTCCACTAAGTGGGATTTGGGGACCAAACTCAGGTCATCGGGCTTGGGGACCCCTTCCTGCTAGGCAGCTCACCAGCTTTCCTTTGTTGGTTTGTCCCAGCATTCCACAGCATGAGGCCGGAGGATGGAGTTTGAGGCCAGTTTGGACTACCTGAAACCTTGTCACAAACAAGCAAGCCAGCAAAGAGGCAACATTGCCATCCTCCACGCGGCCACAGTGAGGACAAAGAGCTCTACCAACAGGGACAGCGACGGGAGGGACAGGAACAGATCCTGGGGTCTGTTGACAGGTGTCCTCCCCTAATTCAGTTTCACTTCCCATGGCCTCCGTTACCCCATGGTCAGCTTCGGTCCAAAAATTTCCATGGAACATTCCAGATATAAATAATTCATAAGTTTAAAATAACTTATTTTAAACAAGTTTTTTAACAATGTCATACATGATGTCGTTATATTTATTCTATTTTTGTGTGTGTGTGTGATAGTGTACAGGTGTGTATGTGTGTGAGTGTGGAAGCCAGAGGACCTCAGATGTTCCTCAGTCACTACCAACCTTTAAAAAATATATTTTACTTTTAATTATGTGTGTGTGTGGCGGGAGGGTATGGGCACGTGAGTGCAGATGATTGTGGAGGCCAGAAGAGGGCGCCAGATCATCTGGAGCTGATCTGGGTATGTGAGCTGCTGGCACTAGAACTCCAGTAAACACTCTTAACCATTGAGCCATCTCCCTAACCCCAACCTTTTGGTTTATTTTTGAAACAGGGCTTTGTACTGGTCTGGAATCTTGCCAAACAGGCTGAACTAACTGGCCAGCAAGCCAGCCTGTTTCTACTTCCGAAGCCCTGGGATTATGTTCAGTGTTTTGTGTGGGGATCTAGGGATTGAACCATATTCTCATGCTTGCAAAATAAAGTTTATCGATTGAGCTGTCTCCCCAGCCCTCCATTTTACTAATGATTGTTCGCCTTTCTATTATTTCTTTCCTTAACTTAGTGAGACAGCTCTTACACCGTAGTCCAGTCTGGGCTTGAACTAATGGCAATGCTCCTGCATCAGCTTCCTGAGTTCTGGAAATGTGAGCCACCACACATTTATTAGTGGCTACTAATTTCTTACCGACTTTAGTGTATGTGTGTAAGAGAAAGACTGTATATAATGCTGGGTAGTTTCTTTCTTTTTTTTTTTTTTTTTTTTTTTTTTTTGGTTTTACAAGACAGGGTTTCTCTGTATTGTTTTGGAGGCTGTCGGTCCAGCCCAGCCTCGAACTCAGAGATCCGCCTGCCTCTGCCTCCCGAGTGCTGGGATTAAAGGCGTGCACCACCACCCGGCATAATGCTGGGTAGTTTCTATGTTTCTGGAATTCCGTGGGATCTTGGGACAAATCCCTTGTCCTGATGGGGAAGATGTCTGCTCTATTAAAAATGTGAGCTGCTGGGCTGGAGAGATGCCTCAGAGGTTAAGAGCACTGTCTGCTCTTCCAGAGGTTGTGAGTTCAATTCCCAGCAACCACATGGTGGCTCACAACCATCCATAATGAGATCTGGTGCCCTCTTCTGGCCTGCAGGCATACATGGAGGCAGGATGTTGTATTCATAATAAATAAATAAATTTTAAAAAATGGTGGCACACGCCTTTAATCCCAGCACTCTGGAGGCTGAGGCCAGCCTGGTCTACATACAGAACGAGTTCCAGGACAGCCAGGGCTACAAGAAGAAACCCTGTCTCAAAAAAACAAACAGTCAAAAAGCCAAATTGTGGCAGTACAGTTCTGTAACCCAAGGCTTGTGAAGTGTAGGTGGGAGGAGCTGGATTTTCAGCTACACTGGGTGAGTTCAAAACCAGCCTGGCTACGTGACCCAAATCAAGTCACCAGGCTTGGTGGCAAGCACCCTTACTCACTAGGATATCTTTCCAGATCCAGTTATTCTGTGACAGTCTTGCTTTGCAGTCCCAGCCAGCCTGGAACTCCTTATGTAGCCCAGGCTGGCCTCAAACTCAGCATCCCGGCTGCTCAGATGACTGGCCTGTGCCACCGTGCCCTCTCCAATCATCTCGTTTGGACCTCAGAAAGTCTGCCAGTTTTACCACTCTGCCCCAGGTCCCTTTTGCATTCCTTTTGTGAACCCTGCTTCCCCAGGGAGCCCCCAGCTCCTCCAGGAAGGAGGGAGGATTTTTCTAGTCTTAGCTTCAGCTCCCTAGGGAATCTAGGAATTTTTCCCAGATTAAGGGACGGCAGGCCCTGGGCACTGGTCCACAGTGTTCAGGTTGGTTCTTGGACCCTGGCGTTGCTCTTCCAGTACCAGCCAGCTAGGTTTGGTTCCATGGCAGCTGCCTCTCACCCTCTCTAAGTCTCTGCCTTTCTCCTTGACATCGGGCTTTTCCTGAGGGTGTGTGAGGAGGCAGCCAGCCAGCAGTCGTAGGAGGGGGAAATGGCTAGCAGCCTCCCTTCCTCTTTACCCCCGCCCCAGAAGAGCACCTGACCGTAAGAAGGTATCCACGTGACAGGCAGCATTTATTTCTGAATCCAGTGTCCACAAATGAGGGGCTGGGGGCAGATGGGAAGGGATGGGGTGGGTTGGGGACTCCAGTGTCAGACTACACAGCAGGCTACCAGGTGGGGGCAGTGCCCAGCAAGGGAGTCAGGAGGTAAAAATAACCCGGCCTGCCGACCCTCAGCGCAGCGTCCCTGGCCGGGCCCTGGGCTTGGCTCCAGGAGCTATTCTGGGGCCTGGGAGAGTTACATTCCCTGGAGGAAGGCCCCTTCCCAGCCCCCCTCCTTCTTTCCCTCCCTGAGGCCGCTGGCCACTGTGGGTCCCTGTCCAGCAGGCAGAGGAAGGAAGGGAGGGCCAAGGCTGGAGGAGGAAGGAGGAGGCGGGGGCTTGCGCGCTGAGCCGGTCCTCCAACGATGCTCCAGATCCAGAGACGGCCTCCGGGCGGTTCCTGGTTTCAGCACTGGTAACGGAACCGGCAGCTCAGGCTGAGCTCACGGCTGACCCCGCGCCCAGTTGGCTCCCCAATGGACACACAGGACATCACTCACCTCATCTCCAAAACCCCCGCTGCCTCCTCTGCCTCCTCCGGAGGGCCCGCCCATGAGGAGACCCGTCTGTTCCGGACGATCCGAGCCAGAGTGGCTCATTTCTGGTTCCCTGGCTGGTCTGGGGGCGACAGTGGAGAGATGGAACCGGGGGTGGTATAGGGCTGGGAGGGGAGGGGAGGGGAGGGCTGCTGAAGCAGGGAGATGGGGTAGAAGCAAGGCTAGTCTTAAACAGGGGTCCCGGATGCTTCTGGGCGGATGCTGCGGCAGGCAGGTGGGGACAGACATGCTTGGTTTCTGGTGCAGACTGTGAAAAGACTGCACACACAAGAAGATGGGTTTGAGGCTGGACACAGACACGGGCTGGCTACGCTGGAGAAAGACAGTCACTGGGAGTGTGGCTTCGAGGAATAGGTCAGGATGTGGCTAGCAATGGGGTGCAAACAGACTGGAGATGAAGCTGGGCTTCATGGCACAGGGCTCCAATCCCGGCACTTGGGAGGCTCGAGGACGGAAAGCTCAAGGCCAACCTGGACAATTCATGTGACCTTGTCTCAGAATAGTCAAATAGAGAGTAGGGATTCATGTAAAGAACCTGCCTAGAATCCCACAGTGAGGGGCTGGGGGCGTGGCTCAGTGGTAAACACCTACCTAGAATCCCCCAGTGAGGGGCAGGGGGTGTGGCTCAGTGGTAGAGGCCCTGCATAGAATCCCCCAGTGAGGGGCTGCGGGTGTGGCTCAGTGGTAGAGCCCCTGCCTAGAATCCCCCAGTGAGGGGCTGGGGGTGTGGCTCAGTGGTAGAGGCCCTGCATAGAATCCCCCAGTGTGCTGTCTAGTTTTATGTCAATTTAACATAGGCTAGAGTTATTTGAGAGGCGGGACCCTCGACTGAGAAAGTACCTCCTCCATAAGATAAGTCTGTAGGGCATTTTCTCCTGTTTTTTTCAAGACAGGGTTTCTCTGTGTAGGCGCTAGAACTTGCTCTGTAGACCAGGCTGGCCTTGAACTCACAGAGATCCGCCTGCCTCTGCCTCCCGAGTGCTGGGATTAAAGCCATGCGCCACCACCGCCCTTCTAGGGCACAGCTTAGAGGCAAAGGCTTTAACTTATGTAAAGTCTGGTTTCCAGCTCCGATACTTGAGACAGAAGGAAAGAACAGAGCTACTTTAGATAGAGGCCGCTAGGGGGGACGGCGCGATGGCGTTGGGTCTGCTGGGAGGAGATTTCAGGCGGCTTTGGTGGGACTCTGGGCGGTAGGCAAGGCCGTCCTTGGGTGGGAGGCCGGGGAGCTGACGGCGTTGGGACTCCTTTGGCAGCAGAGCGGGAGGGTTTGGCTGGGGGACAGGACATGGCTGAGGTTGCAACAGGACCCGAAGGCACTTACGGAGCCCCCTTCTCGGCTCGCCGGCAGCAGCCGGGGCGCCCCTTGCGTCTCATGAAATAGAAAGCAGCGACCACGAGCAGCAGGAGACCCACGCTGACGGCTACGGCCATGACGGCCACTCCAGCCTGGGCGGTCTGGGGGCTCACTGTGAGAAGGCAAGAGGAACTCAGCCCACTGCATCCTGCGCGCCCACCCCACCGGGCTGCTTCCCTGGGCTGCTTCCCTGCTCGCTACCCACCGGAGCCGAAGTGGAACACGTGGTGTTTCTTGCCGTGGATGTTAGAAGCCTCACAGGCCACGCCCTCTCGGCTCAGGGCGCTGGTCACTTTCACCATCAGCGAGCTGCTCCTCCAGCCTTTGCCCTCCAAGGGCAGCTCTGCCGGCTGAGGGGGCTTGGGTCAGGCCACGGCCCTTGGGACCAAGGGCTGGGGGCGTAGGCTGGAGTATGGGGGACATGGAAGCTTGGGCCGATGAGGACCAGGGTCCCCCGTGGAAGCTGGGGTAGGCTGAGTGGCATGGAGTGTCCCTTACAGTGTCGCCTGGCTGACTCCAGGTGAGTTTGGGCTCCGGGTAGCCTCTGGCTGAGCAGGTCAGCATGACTTCATCGCCTTCCGTCCAGCTGCTCCCCGAGACGGGCTTTATCTCGTTCGGTCTTATCTCCGGTGGCCCTGAGGGTGGTGGGGACCACAGCAGCGTCAGTGAGCGGGAGGCGGACAACCAGGGAACGGAGAGACACGGGAGGGCACAGGGGAGGGACTCCGGGGACTCGCTTCCTGTGCAAGCTCCAGGACCCGAGTTCGCGCCCCAGCACCCACATACAGAGCGGGCAGAGCAGTGAACATCTGGAAGCCCAGCCCGGGGCTGAGGCCGTGCAGAGACTCTTGGAGTCCCCCCGAACTCCCGGTTCTCTGGGCTCCAGGTTTTAAATGAGCGGAGGGGGCTGGGAAGATGGCTCAGCAGCCATGCTTGGAACCAATGGGGTGGAACGGGAGAACCAGCTCCTGCAGGCTGTCCCCCGATCACCGCAAACCGTCCCCCCAAATAAATAAAGGTAAAAGAGATAGCTGTGCACACCTTGAATCCCAGCACCCGGGAGGCAGAGGCAGGCAGCTCTTTTGTGAGTCTGAGGCCAGCCTGGTCTACATAGTGAGTTCCAGGGCAGCCAGGGCTACACAGAGAAATCCTGTGTCAGAACACACACCCCCCGCCCCACCCCCCCCCCAAAATAGAGATGAGCAGAGGAAGACACTCGGGTCATCTTCTGACCCCAGGCGCACGCCCACGCACCCACGCACAAGGATGCCTACATACACCACACATGCACACACACACACAAAAGGAAACTAAAGGTAGACATTGTCCCCACACACACGGCGCCCAACAATCCAAACCTTGGACCACCAGCTGGAAACTCTGCGTCCGGCTCAGGAGGGGGACGATGGGTGTATCGGCCTCACACGTGTAGGTGCCAACGGAGTCAAAGGTAACCGAGTCGAGCGAGAGCTGGGGGCCATCTGTGAGGGTCACAGAATCCTGGGGAAGGGACAGGAAGTGCCGTGAGAGGTGACAGCCTGAGGTGCAGCACCCGGGGTCCCCCGGCTCCTCCCTCCGGTCACCTTGGTCCAGCGCACAGTAGGGGCCGGCAGGCCACTGGCCGAGCAGTCCACCACCGTGTCACTGCTGTTCAGGAACACAGAGAGCTCCTCAGGCACACTCAGCAGCAAGGGATCCAGATCTGCAGCAGGGAAAACGGGCTCACGTCCCCCAGCCCCTTGCCCCGTCAGCCAGGGCCTGGAGAGGGCTATCAGGGGCAGATAACGCCATGCTGCTCTTTCTCATTCTCCCCATTACCGCGATATCTGCACTTTCATTCCAGGCCCTTCAGCCAACACCTAGGAGAGCTGCTCTAAAGAATGCACTATCTGAGGTTTACAGAGCTGAGGATGCCATGTGCCAGGCAGTGCTCTCCCACTGAGTCACGCCCCTAGTGCCTCACTGGGGAATTCTAGGCAGGGGCTGTACCACTGAGCCACGCCCCCAGCCCCTCACTGGGGGATTCTAGGCAGGGGCTCTACCACTGAGCCACGCCCCCAGCCTCTCACTGGGGGATTCTAGGCAGGGGCTCTACTTCAGCTCTGTGCCATCAGCTCTCTACCCAAGCTTTTGCTTAAGCTCATTTTTCCCCTTCTCTGTGCGCCCTCATCCCATCTCCATAAAACCTTAATGGGCCTGGACCAGCAAGATGGTGACTAGACACTTGCCACCAAGCCAGACAACCTGATGTCACTCCTCTAGACCCACATGGTAGAAGGTGACGACAGACTTCTGCAAGTTGACCTCTGACCTCCACACGCACACATGCATGTACGTATGCACAAATAAATAAAATGTAAGGATAATTCAAAGTGATCAGACAACTTGCCGGGCTCGTGGCTGGGAATAAACACTGGAGGTAGAGTGTTTGTCTAGCTTGGTTCAAACGCCAGCAACCTCAAAACACAACAAACATTCTGGCTGGGTTTGGTGGCTTGTGGAGGTAAACCCCGCCCTTGGGAAGCTGGGCCAGAAGGTCTGATTTTTCTGTTTCTGCCCTGAGAAGGATTTCCCCGTACTTCACTTCAACTGACCACACTGGCGCTCCCCATCCTTACGATCTACTAGTCCCTCCCTCCCTCCCTCCCTCCCTCCCTCCCTCCCTCCCTCCCTCCCTCCCTCCCTCCCTCTCTCTCTCTCTCTCTCTCTCTCTCTCTCTCTCTCTCTCTCTCTCTCTCTCTCTCGGGTTTTCCATTTCCAAAACAGGGTTTCTCTTGGTAGCCCTGGCTGGTCTTGAACTCACAGAGATCCGCCTGCCTCTGCCTCCCGAGTGCTGGGATTAAAGGCGTGGGCCACCACCGCCACTTGGCTTATCCCTCACTTTTTTTTTTTTTGGTTTTTTCGAGACAGGGTTTCTCTGTTTTGGAGGCTGTCGGTCCAGCCTGGCCTCGAACTCACAGAGATCCACCTGCCTCTGCCTCCCGAGTGCTGGGATTAAAGGCGTGCGCCACCACCGCCCGGCCTATCCCTCACTTTTTAAAACTTGTATTTCTGTCATTTATTGTGTGTGTGCATGAGTGCGTGGCGAATGGATGGAGGTCGGGGGACAAGCTGCTGGAGATGGCTCTCTCCCTCCTTCATGGGAGACCCAAGAATCGCACTTAGATGGTTGGGCTTGGTGGCAAGCTCCGCGGCTTGCTGAGCCACGCTGACAGCCCCGATACTCACTGTTGTCTTCTCGGTCCATACTCGACTGAGCATCCCAAGGGATGTTTCAAAGAACACACTGGTCCATCTTCCTCATGAAACGCTGTTCTGACTCCCAGTGCCCTGGGCACCATGGCCAAAGTCTGCAAAAGCCTGCCTAGTCTTTGAACACCGTCTCTCCACCTGCTTAGCCTCAGATACGTTGTTTCCAGGGTTAGTGTCCTCAGGAATTCCATACCGAGTTCATCTCTAGGGCTTTGCCACTGGCTCACCCTGCCTGCAGCAGAGGCTCTTATCCCACGTGTCCCCTCCTCTCAGAGGCCTCCTGCCCCCATTGCTGTGGACACCCGGCTCTCGGGATCTCCCTTCCCACAGCAGCAACTGATTCCCCCAGCTGCTGCAAGAGCCGGCAGCTGTCAACCCTCAGCTGTCAGCCCTCGGGAATGCCCTCAACTGTAAGGAGCCCCTTGCCCAAGGTCACACTCCCTTCCCGGCATGACACACAGTCAGGCTCAGCTCCTTCACGCTATCTGGGGACAACTGTGGAGTGTTGCCCTCCCTCCCCAAGACCTTGTGTAAATCCCACCCATTCTCGCTGCTTCTGAATACACAGGTCACAGGTGACTTTCCATAAACACTCTACCTGCAGACCTGGTGGTGAGAACACTTGCAGGAACTCAGACTGTGACAATCCTTTTTCACCTCGCACCTCCGTCTTAATCAATGCTACTTCTCTAAGACACACTGATGGTTTGGGTCAGCACTTACTGTGTGTCTCTGCTACTGTGGTGGGGCTACATAGTGAGTTCAAGGCCAGACTAGCTTCATGAGATTCAACTAAACAAAACAACTAAACATAGGCTATGGAGACAGCTCAACAGGTACAGTACTTGCTGTGTAAGCATGAGAACCAGAGTCCTAGAACCCCTGCCTAGAATCCCCCAGTGAGGGGCTGGGGGGCAGGGCTCAGTGGTAGAGCCCCTGCCTAGAATCCCCCAGTGAGGGGCTAGGGGGTGTGGCTCAGGGGTAGAGCCCCTGCCTAGAATCCCCCAGTGAGGGGCTGTGGGCGTGGCTCAGTGGTAGAGCCCCTGCCTAGAATCCCCTAATGAGGTACCACCTTGAAGCCCCAGATCCCACATAAAAAGCTGGATGTGGTTGTGCATGCTTATTCTTAGCAGAACGATCTCTGGGGCATGCTGGAAAGCATGCCAGTCAAGCTTAAATCAGAGAGCTCCAGGCCAATGAGGAGCTCCTTCTCAAAAAACAAGGTGTCAATCCAGAGACACGACAGCTGAGGTTGACCGACAGCCTCAACACACGCATACACAGGAGGTGTGCACACACACTCACACACACACTAAAGATCACTCTCTTCCTAGAGAAGTGAACAGAAAAGCTGCTTAGAAACCCAGGGGCAGCCGGGCGGTGGTGGCGCACGCCTTCAATCCCAGCACTCGGGAGGCAGAGGCAGGCGGATCTCTGTGAGTTCGAGGCCAGCCCTGGTCTACAAAGCTACACAGAGAAACCCTGTCTCAAAAAAACCAAAATAAATAAATAAAAATAAATAATAACTAAATAAACAATGAAGGAAAGACAGACAGAAGAAAAGAAACCCAGGGTAGGGCCAGGTTAGACTCGGTGGGCATAATCTTGAGGAGTGAGCCTGGGACTTGAGCCTCCACAGGGGACTGGATCTTTCTCTGTAAAACACTGGGGAACCGCAGCAGCTTCTAAGCAGGGGCAGGGAGTCAAGTGTGCGCTCTGGAGAGCCTGTGAGGCAGCTGGGAGGAGCTGCCGCGGGGGCTGTGACCGGGAGGAGGAGGTGGAGCCGGACCCCAGCCCGCCCCGCCCTCCCCACGAGCTCTCACAGGCCACGCGCAGCTCCAGGCTCTTGACAAGCGGAGTTTCCTCGTAGAGGTCGTAGTCCTCAACCCTGCAGCCATAGACTCCGCTCTGGTCCCGATGCACGCCCTCCAGGGTCAAGTTCCCCTTGAGGCTGACATTTAACGGTTTCTCCTGGGTGCCCTGAGTAAGAGGATGGCACCCGGGAATTAGAAGCTGTTCTTCGGGCGACTGGGGTGGAGTCAGGGGTCACCAAGCTGGTGTCATACTTCGCTAGAGGCAGTTTGAGCCAAAGGTCAGGGGTCATACCTGTCGGGTATGTTCTCCAAACTATCTAAAGGCAGGGTCAGACATCCTTCAGATCAAGGGTTCTTGTGAAGCTAAGCACCCCCAGGGTCAAAATTAGCAGTTGGGGTTGTGGTATGGATCACAGGTAGAGTCCCCGCCTAGAATCCCCCAGTGAGGGGCTGGGTGTGGCTCAGTGGTAGAGCCCCTGCCTAGAATCCCCCAGTGAGGGGCTGGGTGTGGCTCAGTGGTAGAGCCCCTGCCTAGAATCCCCCAGGGAGTCAGGCCCTGGGTCTGTCTCCTACACCACTAAAGACTAGAGGGTGATGAGGTCAGTGAGACACGGAATCAGGTGGGTTACCTGTATGCGGAAAAAGGAGTAATCTGGACTGGGGCTGCCGTCACCCTGGCAGAGCAGCTGGACAGCGTCACCCTCACGCACCCAGCCTTCTGTGGTGGATGGGCTCCCCACCCAGAACTCTATATTCTCGGTTGGATCTGTGGGAAGAAAGGAAGTAAGGTCAAGGGGGAAGGTCAGCTCTACTTTTTTTTTTTTAGTTTCTTTTTTGAGTTCCTCTCTGTGGCTTTGGAGCCTACGGTGGAGCTCGCTCTGTAGACCAGGCTGGCCTTGAACTCAGAGATCCGCCCGCCTCTGCCTCCTGAGTGCTGGGATTAAAGGCTGGCGTTGCCACTGCCTGGCCTGTCAGCCTTACTTTAAAGGGAGAGATACAGTATCTAAACCTTAGAAGTCTTAAGTTTGTTTGTTTGTTTTATCTGTGTGTGCCTGTGTGCGTGAGTGCATGCCTGCGTGTGTGTGTGTGTGTGTGTGTGTGTGTGTGTGTGTGTGTGTGTATGTGTGTGAGAGAGACGTATGTGTCTCATTCCTTTGGTCTGATTTTGATTCAGGCCCCCTCTCCGTAGCTCCGCCAGGCTTTGAACTCTGCGTCCGCCCATCTCAGCCTCCGCAGTGCAGGGATGACAGGGCGCGTGTCTCCTCACCTGACAGACAGGTCCAGACTCACCCTCGGAACACACACCAGAGGTAAAAGTCACAGGTCTAGCTAATCCGAGGGTCAGAGGTCAGTGTTACGGTTTGAGATTTAAGACCAGATGCCGTATGGGAACTCAAATCGGCAGGAAGGAATGGAGCGTTGCATGGGGGTGTCAGGGTCCTATGCCGAACTCAGAGTCGGCATGGTCGTTTGGGGAGCAGTCTGAGTCCAGAGGCCAAAGGTCAGCAGGCTGCCCCAACTACACTTGAGCCCGAGGTGAGACTGGAACCGGGGCCCGGGGCTGCGCCTTGCTGGGACAGCATGGTAGGGCGGGGGCCAGCGCTGTCGGGGACTCACAGTGCAGCGTGAGGCGGAAGTCGGGGCTGTCCAGGCGGCCGTGCTCGTTCGAGGGCAGCTTGTAGTGGGAGGCGCAGTGGAATCTGGCGTCTCGATCCTCCTTGTAGAGCCTCAGGTACAGCGTGCTGGTCAGGGAGTACAGGCTGGAGGCCTCCCGGACGGTGCGGCTGGTCATGTAGCCCTCTGCGGGAGAGGCGGGGGGGCAGGCTGGCTAACACCCCACCCCGCGGCACCCTCTCACCCCGCCCCACCCCGCCCTCCCCGGCTCCTGATGGCTCACTTGAGTTCATCTCCATGGGTACATCCAGGCGCTGGCCGTTCCGGTACCACGTGATGCGGGGCACCGGGTTTCCGTTGCGGCTGCTGCAGGTAGCGATCTGGGGAAGAGACGGGCGTGGCCTGGGCTGGGCGCCAGGACTCTGAGGTCTGGTTCTCTGTTTTCCCCCCAGATCTCCCCTCTAGATGTGTCCGCTGGGGCTCTTTTTCCTCGGGAGAGGAGACCGAACTCACCGGCTCCCGTTCCTTCCACTACAGAGCCCAGAGCCCGGTCTGTGAGATGTGTATTCGTGGGGGCGGGGAGGGGGGGGGTGGAAGACCGGAGTCGGATCCCAGGAAACGTGTAGAGAGGGTTAGGGGTGGGGAAGTGTCCCCAAAGCTGTCTTCTGACTTAAGATGCCGCATGCTTGTGTCCCCACCTCAACAATTAACTCTAAACCTGGCCGTGGCGACACACCGATGCAACCCCAGCTCTCTTGAGGCTGAGACAGGAACGTCTAGCCTGGGCTACATGATGAGTCCCGGGCCGGCCTGAGCCTCGTGAGACCCTGTTTCACACAACCCCAGGCCAAAGCTCGGAGTGTGACCCTAGCACCAGGATCCAATCATCCAGGCAGGAGGACCAGGAGTTCAGAGCCAACCCTTGTCACACAGCAGGGATGTGGTCCTGCTGGGTTACGAGGCCGGTGTTGCCAACAAAAGGAAACCAAGAAAAAAAAAACAACAACAAAAAACCAGATGGGTACGATGGCACGCGCCTGGGACCTCAGTACTTGGAAAGCATTAAGTGGCGACATAGAAAGTTCTGGGTCACCCTCCCAAACAAAAACCAAAACAAAGCAAGGAAAATACCCAGCAATAGGGAGCATCTGCCTGGCGTACTCAAAGCCCTGAGTTCAATCTCCGATACCACAAAACAAACTAATAACAAAGACAGTCGTGGAAACTCAACCCGGGTCACATTACCTCCTGGGCAGACTCTTCCAACACAGACAGCGTCCGCTTGTTGGGAATCACCTCCGTAGCCTCGGGGGTCGCTGTTGGGGGAGATGCTCGGGTCAGGAGGTCCTCCTCCGATCCCCCCCACGCCATGGCTCCTCGGCATAGTTTTGGGGACACTTACCAAACACGCGGACACTCGAGGTGGCCTCGGAGGTGCCCGCTGAGCCAGCCTTCACCACGCACACGTAGTCCCGCTCATCGCCCACCTGGGCCTTTTCTATCACCAGGCGGCCCCGGGAGTCCAGCTTGTATGGGGGACTGCGGCCCCGAGAGCTGTGGACTGTGCCCAGGAGCTCTGAGCCCTGCGGCTCCACGGAAGCCAGGAGATGTCGGGACCCGGTAGCGTCAACCTGTGGGCATGAACGAGGGTCTTAGCTTGGGTTGTGACCCTTTACATAGTCTACCGCCAAGACTGTTTTCTCTTGGGCCTAGGGAAAGAACCTAGTGAGCCCCACATGCTAAGCATCACTCTACCACCAAGCCACGCCCCCCAGCCCCTCACTGGGAAATTCTAGGCAGGGGCTCTACCACTGAGCCACGCCCCCAGCCCCTCACTGGGGGATTCTAGGCAGGAGCTCTACCACTGAGCCATGCCCCCAGCCCCTCACTGGGGGATTCTAGGAAGGAGCTCTACCACTGAGCCACGCCCCCAGCCCCTCACTGGGGGATTCTAGACCAGCATCCTACCAGCTACACTCTCTTCCTTCTTTTTTTTTTTTTTCTCTCGGTCTTTCCAGAAAGGGTTTCTCTGTATTGTTTTGGAGGCTGTCCTAGAACTCGATCTGTAGACCAGGCTGGTCTTCAACTCACAGAGATCCGCCTGCCTCTGCCTCCCGAGTGCTGGGATTAAAGGTGTGTGCCACCAATGCCCGGCTTCATCCTTCTTTTTATTTCTTTGGTTTTGGAGACATGGTTTCTGTGTAGCTTGGTTGTCCTAGAACTCTCTCTCTGTAAGCCAGGAAAACCTGGAACTCAGGGATCCACCTGCTTCTGCCTTCCTAGTGCTGGGATTGAAAACGTGTGCAACCATGCCTAGCCATCCCTCTTTTTAAGACTTTTTAAAAAGTATTTTATCATTTATATACGTGTATATGCATCTCTGTGTGTGCGCGCGCGCACATGAGTGCAGGTATCCATGGACACCGGAAGAGGGCATCAGATCCCCTGGAGCTAGAGTCACAGGCAGCTGTGAGCCCGTGAGTGCTGAGATCTGAACTCAGGTCCTCAGGGAAAGAACCAAGTGCTATTCAGTGCTCGGCTTTTGAGGTCCCCATGTGGGGTGAGCGCTTTCCCACGGGGTAAGCATTTACTCCATCCCCTCAGCCCTGTCTTCACTTTTTGTATAGCAATGGGGTCTAACGTCGTAGTGCAGGCAGACCTCGAACCTTCCTCCAGGCTTGCGGCCCAGCCGCCTGTCATTTCTCTCGTGTCTCTGCTGCCCTCCATGCCCTCTCCTAAGTCCCGACCTACTCCCCACCTTCCTGTGTCCCTCATGCCCCTCCCCTGGTGTCTCATCTCTCTCTTGTCCTGACTCTCCTTCCCTCTCCTTCCCTCTGGCTCCTTCTGGTCTCTGCTCTGTGTGGCCCCTCACTCCCGAAGGAGAACCGTTTCCTCAAGGAAACCCATGCCTCCCTGAGTTCCCAGCTGCTCGTCTGTGCAGTGGAGATGGGGCTTCTGACGGCTCCCTGTGGGGTCTTTCGGCTCCTCATAGGCAGAACTAATTGGTACTGATGTGACCAGGACGCTGGACCCCCTCCTCCCTGCATCTTCCCCAGCTCCCGGCAAGACCACACTCACAAGGTGCCACTCCAGCACATAATGCTCAGGGCGCTCCCGAGGCTTGCAGTCCAGGGTGACCAGCTCTCCTTGCAACACCTCCACCAGAGGGGGCACAGACACGTGCACCTCAGCCTGGGCACCTGCGGGATGGCGTGGCCTCAGATGTCTACCCAGCGCTACCAACGGGGAGAGCCCTCCAGACCCCAGGGGAGACTTAGCGCCTCCCTTAGACACACAGTTCCAGACCCTTGCCTCAAACCCTCAGACAGGAGTCTGGGCTCCAACCTCCTCCCTCAGATGCAGCTCCTCTCTTCCTCCTTGGTCCTCCCAGAGTCTGGGGCCATCAGTGTCTCTCCATCACTTTCGAGTTACTTGAGCCAGGCTGGCTTCCAACTCTACTACAGCTGCCCCTGCTTCCTGAGTGCTGAGATTAAAGCCCTGTGCCACCGGCCCAGCCTCTGCCACTTCTAAGGGCTAAGGCCAAGCCTCCTCCAGAACTCTACGCTAAAGCCTTGCTTCTCTTACCCGCCCAACATAGCAAACCAAACGTCCCCTCGAGGAAGGGCCAGGCCCCACTCTCCCCTTGACCTCGAGCACCGGGGACAGGACCTGGCCCCGAGGGGCTGAAGAACAGGTCTTTCTCCATCTTTGCTCTCCACTTTTTGATCCCATCCAAATTTCCCGGTTGCTCCTGGGGGCCCTCTGCTGCTCTCTGCTGTGTGTGTGTGGGGGGGCTGGGGTGTGGGCTGCAGCCGGGCCCGGAGCTGGATTGGGTGTGTGGGAGAGGCAGGGGGGGACAGGGCTGGGCAGGTTTCAGGAATGTGGGAGGGCCAGGCTGGCTGAGACCTGCCCGGCTTGGCGCCAGAGCCCCCTACCTGCCCCCTGACAACACCCCCCTCCCATCTCTTCACAAGAGATGCTTGAAAAGGGTGAGGTGAGTCACCTGGGCAGGGAGTGAGCCTGAGGGGAGGAAGGGTTCCAGTAGCCTGAGGTGGCAGCGGAGCCTGAGGTTGGGACCTCTGGGAACGTGGGTCTCCGACTCCCGTCAGGGTCTGGTGGGTGGCACAGCTCTCGCTGGGAACCTACCCTCTGGGGTAGCATTTTGGCATCATTCCTTCCCCTCCCAGTCTGGCCTGCTCCTGGCTTCCCAACGACACACCACACTTGTGCCAGCGGCCTGGGCTCCCAGGCACCTACCTCTGGCCCCAGCCTGTCCCAGGGGAGCTGATGTGGAGCCAGGCTGGTACCCGGGACTGGGTGTGACTGCAGACTCCCAAGGCAGGCAGATAGATAGCCCCTGTCCTCCCTGATCCCTGTCCACCCTGTCCCCAGTGCCCCCCCTCCCGGGCCCCCTGTGCCCCCCCACAGCTTGCAGGTGTGTGGATTTCCCAGGGGCCCCTTTCCCTCGGAAACACTGTTCCACGTTCTGTGAGAGGCTTGGTACTCCGGGCCCTTTCTCAGAGGGGTGGGTCCTCTAGGGTCAGGTCAGCCTACACTCTGAACTGAGGGGAAACCTCTCATTGTAGGAAGTGTTTTAGCCGCAGGTTCCCCAGCTTCCCCGAGGAAGCTCAAACTTAATCACTTAGAGAACAGCTCTAGGATGTGGGTCTTCAGTAGAAGCTACTTTGACAAAGCAGGAGACGGTGGGGGGCAGGGGGGGCGGCGGCGGGGGCTGGGCTGGGCTCCGGTCTGAGGGACTAAGCACCCAGAGCCCAGATTCCAGGTACCCAAGGTTATTAGGGGTCGCAGGGCTTAGATTCCTGAGTTCCCAGAGAGCCAGGAAGGGACAGCTTGCTTAGGCCGTGTCTGCTCCAGCGTCGGGGTACCCTCATCTCTCGGATCGGGAACATCCCAAGGCCTCCCCGCCTTCCTCTCGGGTGGGGAGTCCCTAGACTGTGCTCCCTGGGGAGATGGAAGCTTGTTCCCCAGTCTCTCCGGGGACCCCAGGAGCCATCCCCACAAACCCCAACGCCAAGTCTCAGCTCTGCCCTCTCGGTTCCAAGCCATACCTGAGTGGCCCGCCAGGACGAGGGCGAGCCACAGCAGCCCTGCGCGGGCGTCCGGGGGCTCCATGTTCCTCCCTGCGGTGGCGGCGGTGACTGAGCCCGGGCGGGTGAGGCTCTCTCGGCCGCGGTGAGGCTGGCAGCGGAGGCCACGCCCCGGGCCACGCCCACCCCGCCCCTCCCCATCCCCAGGCTGGGCGCCAGGCCAAGACCTCCCACTGCCCGGAGAGGACCTCCCACCCGCGCGCGCGGGGACCCGCTGGCCCTGCCAGCCCCGCGGCGCGCGCCACTCCTATCCAGCCCACGCCCGCGGCTGCCCTCGGTGGCCAGGGCGCCTGACCCAGCAGTCTAGCCAGTGCCTAGAGCTTGGGATCTGAGGGACACCGCAGGGACCCTCATCCCCTTCCTTCCTGAGACTCATTTCCGTGGTGGCCAGTGCCACCCCGCCCACCCCCCACCCCTCACCCCCCACCCGCTGCAGGTAGATCGTTTCCCTAGTTTGTTTGTTTTCTTTCCGGAGACAGGTGTTGCTGGAGGCGCTGTAGCTCAGACTGGCCTGAAACTCGTTGGCAAGCCGCCTGCCTCGGTTTCCCAAGTGCTGGGATTGCCACCGCCTCTGGTTTGTGGACTGTCGGTGTTTACTGGGGCAATTAGTTGCCTGTGTGGCCTCGGTCTGCAGAGTCTCCTGCATGACTGGCTCTTCCCAGGGTGCTCGCCTCACAGCCACCTTGCTCGGAAGCGTCGCTCCTCTGACGAGCAGTGGCCTGGAACTGGTCGGGTCAATCTTCTCTTTAATGGGGTTTTCAATTCCCAAGTCATCCTCTTAGGCCTCTTTGGTGATGGGGTGGGGATGGGGAGCCCCTCCCTCTGCTGTGCTCTCCCTGACTCCCTCACATCCCCCCATCCAGAGAATCCAAGGAATGTCACCCCCCTTCCTCCTCCTTGCTCTCCCCGCCATTCCCTCCCCACCTTGGGGGGAGGGGAGGACACGGCTGGCTGGGGCAGGTGAATGGAGGAGGGTAAGAGGCGATCAGGCCACTGGACGGAAGAGAGGGGTCACAGGTCAAAGTAAGGGATCACAGATCACTACTCCAGGGTCCTCACAGGCCAAATCAGCCTGGAACGAAATCCCAAGAATGCTGGGTGGGGGTGGGGAAGGAGGGCTCTGCCACCGTTCAGCCGGCAGAAGCTAGTCTGGGATCCTGGTAGGGGTGTGTGTATGGGGGTGTCACTGGTCATGCTGAGAGACAGCCCTCCTCCCCCAGGCTCTGGTCAGTCTGAGGGAGGCCAGCATTGATCTCAGGGGGCCCCCGGGAGCCAAGGTTTTACCCATCAGCCGCAGAAGAAAGGCTTATGTTATGGGTGCTGACTCTCAAAGCTGTTTTAGCATTCCGGCCACACCGGACAGTAATTGTGAAACCAGGAAAATGACCTTTGCATAGGGAGGGCTGCGCCTTGTCTCCTCTTCAGGAAGTCCTCCTTCAACCCTGTCCTGTCACATACCTCCCTGCAAACCTCGGGGGCCCCCTGCTAGCCCCCCACCCCCTGGGGTGCATCTCTCCCTCATTTTCCTCCACCTGACTCCCAGTCACCAGCCCCCTCCCTACTGCAGGCAAAAGGATGCATACGCAGGGGTCCCGAGGCTTACAGGAAGATGCTCTCCACAGCTAACTGGGCCTAGTGGTCCACTCTAATGACCCTTACTCTGAAGCAGTGGTAGCAAGACCATCAGGGGTTCAAGACCAGCCGTGCCTCACAGGAACGAAAACAGGAAACGGTTGGTACAAGCCTTGTTTAGTTTTTGTGATGCCTGGGCCTCTGCCCCCCAACATCTCGTTAACCAGGCATATCCTGACACACACCGGCTATCCCTGCACTGAGAGGTCGGAGGGTCAGGAGTTCGGTCTTCCTTGGCTACACTGAGTTTTAGGACAGCTGGGCACAGTGGTGCACGCCTTTAATCCCAAGACTCTGGAGGCAGAGGCAGGGAAGGGTCTCTGGGTTCCAGGCCAGCCTGGTCCGTGTACATATCGAGTTCCAGGACCTGTCTCAAAATAGAAAGACCTGCCTCAAAAGCAAATAAATTAATAATAAAACAAAAAGGAGTTTGAGGAAAGCCTGTACCACAATAAGGGCTTGTCTCAAAAAACAAAAAAACAAAAGGAAAAGCAACGGTGCTGGAGAGACGGCTCAGCGGCGGTGAGCACTTGCAGAGGACTCAGGTTCGGATCCTGGCACCTACATCCGATCCGGTGGCTCATAACAGCCTGTAACTCCATTTCCGGGGAGATTTGAAGCCTTCTCTGGCTTCTATGAGCACCAGGCAAACACGTGGTGAATATAGGTCCATGTACGCAAAGACTTGTACCTCTAACAATAAATACGTACTAAAAGCCACTTTAAAAATATCTTTAAAGCACTCGGGAGGCAGAGGCAGGTGGATCTCTGTGAGTTCGAGGCCATCCTGGTCTACAAAGGGAGTTCCACGACAGGCTCCAAAGCCATAGAGAAACCCTGTCTTGAAAAACCAAAAAAAAAAAAAATCTTTAAAAGCCGGGTGTTGGTGGCGCACGCCTTTAATCCCAGCACTCAGGAGGCAAAGGCAGGTGGATCTCTGTGAGTTCGAGGCCATCCTGGTCTACAAAGCGAGTTCCAGGACAGGCTCCAAAGCCACAGAGAAACCCTGTCTCGAAAAACCAAAAAAAAAAAAAAAAAAAATCTTTAAAAACAACCCAAATCAGAGTGGCCACGACACTCCCAGATGGCATTCTCACAGTGCCCAAGTGCTCCCTGGGGCCGTCTTCCACACTGGGACCTCAGTCATCACTTCCCTGTTCTGCCCCTGGCCTGAGGATCTGATTACCGGGTCTGGACCCCGATCGGGAGCCTGGCATCAGCCGCCCTCTCTTGCACCTTTGAGAAGTCAGCCGGCTATGGCGCCGGGTGAAGTAAGCCACGAGGCTGAGCACAGGAGAGAGGCATTAGCCCTGGACTTGTGGAAACGAGTCTCATAATGTCACCTCCCATTGTCCGCTACAATTAGGTCCTACTCAAGAGTCAGAAGAATCCCGAGGAGCTGTGAGTCAGCCCGGGACACTGTTCTTCTAGAATCCGCCCACGGCTCCATCTTGATGAAAGTAAAAGCCAGCACTCTCCCTGTGGTTTGTGAGGTCCTAGATCTGACCTTTTCCCTGCCCTGACCCCCGTCTGGCATTCACTCTCCCTCCCAAGCAGCATTTCGGTCACCCTGATCTCTCGGCTGACGTGCTGGGCCATCAACCCCAGGACCTTCACACTTCCTGCCCCCACTGCCAGGGCATCCTTCCACGGAGTGGCTTCCTCCTCGCTCGCCTCTAATCTCTCCTGTGACTCGCCTCGTTAGAGCGTTCCAGCTGCCAGCTGCCCGTGTTTCCCTTCCTATCGCCTTTATCACGGGGGGCGGGCGGCTGGGCTGGGTAAACTTCACCTCACATTGTCTGGCACAGAAGCTATGCCCCAAGGGAACTCCTCGGGGGTCACACTGCATCTCTGGTGCCCAGGACAGGGCCTGACTTGGGGACACATAAGGGCCTGTGCGTGGAACGAAGTCATGTTCCGACTCTGCCCTGCTGTCTCCTGTGTATAGATCAACAGTCACGTGTCACTTAACAATGCGCATCCGTTCAGATAAAGGTGTTGCTAGGCAATTGCTTAGTCCTCCTGTGAGCATCACGAAGTAGCTCGCTCCGCAGGTGAAACCACACTTACGGCGTCATCAGGTGACACAATCTTACGGACCACGGTGGCACAAGGGGGTCTTGTTGCGTGCCACACAACTGTATTTCACTGTCCCTTAAGTAAAATGCAGAGACACTGCTAGTTAGCTATGCACATCTCACCATAGACTTCATAATGATCATTAATTATTTATGTGTATGTATGTATGCATTTATGTCTGCATGTGCATGCAGCTGCCTGCCCAGGCCAGAAGAGGGCGCTGGAGCTCCTGGAACTGGGGCTACACACAGCTGGGAGATGCTGGGAGCTGAACTCTGCTCCTCTGAAGAGCAACAAGTGTGCTCACCACTAAGCCATTGCTCAGTCGCTGTTCTGCTGCTGTGAAGAGACACGGTTACCAAGGCGACTCTTACACACACAGCAGCGTCTACTTGGGGGCTGCCTTACGGTTTCTAAGGTTCAACTCGTTAGCGTCATGGTGGGGAGGATGTTGGCAGGAATGGTGCTGGACCGGTAACTGAGAGCTTCACCCCGGCCCTCAGGCTGAGAGAGAGAGAGATGCTGGACCTGGCGTGTGCTTTTGACCCTCTGAGCCTGCCTCCAGTGACACACTTCCTCCAGCGAGGCCACACCTCCCAATCCTTCTCAAACAGTTCTGCTCCCTGGTGACTAAGCATACGCGATCCTCTGAGGACTATTCTCATTCAAGCCACCAAAGCCCTTTCTCCAGCCCGGGGTTTGTTTATGGCTCCCGAGAGCTGAGTCACAAGAAAGCAGAAACACTGCTTACCAGAGTGGATTTCTGTTTAGTTTGAGACATGGTCAGTGTACCTAGGTCTGGACATACTTTAATTCATCTTTCTTTTTCTTTTCTTTTCTGTTTTTTTGTTTTTCAAGACAGGGTTTCTCTGTATTGTTTTGGAGGCTGTCCTGGAACTCGCTCTGTAGACCAGGCTGGCCTCGAACTCACAGAGATCCGCCTGCCTCTGCCTCCCGAGTGCACCACCAACACCCGGCTCTATCATCACTGCTCCTACCCTCTGTGTGTGTGCGTGCACACATGGCATCGAGCATGGCGGTCGCTTTGGGGATGAGCGTGAGTGCTGGTCCTCTGCTTCCACCATGTTTAAGACGTATCTTGTCACTGTGTTCACTAGGTGACCTGGCCGCATGCTTCTGGGGACCCTGGCGTACCTTCTTCCCATGTTGTACTGGGTTTACAAACACACGCTTCCTGTCTGGCCGTAAGAGGATTCTGGGGACGTAAACTCATGACTTCAGACTTGCAGGTTTTATCCACAGAACTATGCCCCCCACCCTTGGTAACCCAGGTTGGCTTTGAACTCCTCTCTCTCTTAAAGATTTAAATTTATTTGTTTTTTTTTTTCAAAACAAGGTTTCTCTGTGTAGCCCTGGCTGTCCTGAGTTGGAGGCCA